TTTCTTCTATATTGTCCTTTTGCATGTTTGATGTCTCGTCTGAGGTCTTGTGTCTTTTTATTTGGCTTCGTATCTGGTGGGTATCTCCAATGACTGTAATCGGTGGTAGTGATGTTCCATTCAACTTTCTGTTTCAAGACCCAATATGACCAATCTAAGATCCATGTTGTTGAGATGAGATAAGTTTTAACTCACATTCCTTTTCTCTGTGTGATTGTCTGTTACAGAGCCTTCTGAGTTGAGCGAACTCTAAAAGATACCAAGATGTGGAAGAAGTCAAAAGTGACAGATAAATCTGCCGAAGGGCAGAAGGGTAAGTGCAATGTGATGGATTTCTCCTCAGATCAGTTGAATCAAGACAGACAACCACCCAATGCAGTCACACACAGGCAAGAGGTAAAGAACAGAAATGGCAGGAATCATTGTCCATTGTTGATTGACAAGATACAGTTGCAGATTAGATTGTGCTGTATTGGCACAACAATTGCTACAATGTGCGTGCATCATGGTGCTATTGCGTCTTCTAGCGATAGTTTGCCAGTAAATTGCGGTATGTGAAGTGTATCAATTAGACCTACCAATACACAACAGAGCAAAGAGAAGATATGGCATCATTTTCAGTACAGATTACAGTGAGGGAAAAAAGTACTTGATCCCCTGCTGATTTTGCATGTTACATTAAGGTAGTCATAAAAACAAAGCTTCATTTCCGCCCTAATTATCAAGAATTCCCTGTCTTAGGTCAGTTAGGATCACCACTTTATTTTAAGAATGTGAAAAGTCAGAATAATAGTAGAGAATGATTTATTTCAGCTTTTATTTATTTCATCACATTCCCAGTGGGTCAGAAGTTTACATACACTCAATTAGTATTTGGTAGCATTGCCTTGAAATTGTTTAACTTGGGTCAAATGTTTCGGGTAGCCTTCCACAAGCTTCCCACAATAAGTTGTGTGAATTTTGTCCCATTCCTCCTGACAGAGCTGGTGTAACTGAGTCAGGTTTGTAGGACTCCTTGCTCGCACATGCTTTTTTCAGTTCTGCCCACACATTTTCTATAGGACTGAGGTCAGGGCTTGTGATGGCCACTCCAATACCTTGACTTTGTTGTCCTTAAGACATTTTGCCACAACTTTGGAAGAAGGCTTGGGGTCATTGTCCATTTGGAAGACCCATTTGCGACCAAGCTTTAACTTCCTGACTGATGTCTTGAGATGTTGCTTCAATATATCCACACAATTTTCCTTTCTCATGATGCCATCTATTTTGTGAAGTGCACCAGCCCCTCCTGCAGCAAGCACCCCCATAGCATGATGCTGCCACCCCCGTGCTTCACGGTTGGGATGGTGTTCTTCGGCTTGCAAGCGTCCCCCTTTTTCCTCCAAACATAACAATGGTCATTATGGCCAAACAGTTCTATTTTTGTTTCATCAGACCAGAGGACATTTCGCCAAAAAGTACGATCTTTGTCCCCATGTGCAGTTGCAAACCCTAGTCTGGATTTTTTATGGAGGTTTTGGAGCAGTGGCTTCTTCCTTGCTGAGCGGCCTTTCAGGTTATGTCGATATAGGACTCGTTTTACTGTGGATATAGATGCTTTTGTACCTGTTTCCTCCAGCATCTTCACAAGGTCCTTTGTTGTTGTTCTGGGATTGATTTGCACTTTTCGCACCAAAGTATGTTCATCTCTAGGAGACAGAATGTGTCTCCTTCCTGAGTGGTATGACGGCTGCGTGGTCCCATGGTGTTTATACTTGCGTACTATTGTTTGTACAGATGAACGTGGTACCTTCAGGCGTTAAGAAATTGCTCCCAAGGATGAACCAGACTTGTGGAGGTCTACAATTTTTTTCTGAGGTCTTTGGCTGATTTAATTTAGATTTTCCCATGATGTCAAGCAAAGAGGCACTGAGTTTGAAGGTAGCCTTGAAATACATCCACAGGTACACCTCCAATTGACTCAAATTATATCCATTAACCTATCAGAAGCTTCTAAAGGCATGACATAATTTTTTGGAATTGTCCAAGCTGTTTAAAGGCACAGTCAACTTACTGTATGTAAACTTCTGACCCACTGGAATTGTGATACAGTGAATTATAAGTGAAATAATCTGTCTGTAAACAATTGTTGGAAAAATTACTTGTGTCATGCACAAAGTAGATGTCCTAACCGACTTGCCAAAACTATAGTTTGTTAACAAGAAATTTGTGGAGTGGTTGAAAAACGAGTTTTAAGTGTACGTAAACTTCCGACTTCAAGTGTACCTGTAGTTTACTAAAAATGAATCACAGAACTGCAAGACAATGCACTTATTCTGAAAAACTGATTTGACATCAAGAGGAATCTGTCAAACCTGTGCTGAATGCTTGACAACATATCTACTCAGTCATCAAATCTAAACTGAAGATCAAGTTTTACATCATATTTGACCAGTCAACTGAAGCGTGTTAAGAGATACCACTGTGGAGAAGATTGAAATTGGAAGACTGGACTCAAAACACATATTTCTGACAATAAAACTGTATGGTAGCATATATAATCTGCTATCCCTTCTTCCTCAGCTGTTTGTCAAATCAATTTACAGCTAACTATTTCATGCACTGTACCTGTCACAGAAAAGGACTCCCAACAGCCGAACCCTATGGACAACCATCACACATTTAATGGGACCTTATTGGATGCCAATGAGCACTGACACATCCGATATCTGATACACCAAAGTTGGTCAGCAGATTTAGTATAATTTAATACCATGAGTTCTTACTTCGTATTTGTCACACCAGCCTTCGCTTTGGCTCCCCCTCCTGTCCAGCTCAGTCATTCAGCATCACCGGCCTTCTAGCTGCTGTTGAACCTGCTGCTGGCAAACACCCTTTACTCATCAACCCGGACTTGTCTCATCATCATTACACACATCTGGTTCCAATCCCCACTCTATCACTGTATATATACTCCCTCTGTCGTTTGTCTTTGTCGGTGATTGTAAACTCAGCAAAAAAATGAAACATCCTCTCACTGTCAACTGCATTTATTTTCAGCAAACTTAACCTGTGTAAATATTTGTATGAAAATAACAAGTTCCACAGACATGTGACTAACAGAAATTGAATAATGTGTCCCTGAACAAAGGGGGGGGGAACAGTCAGTATCTGGTGGCCACCAGCTGCATTAAGTACTGCAGTGCATCTCCTCCTCATGGACTGCACCATATTTGCCAGTTCTTGCTGTGAGATGTTACCCCACTCTTCCACCAAGGCATCTGCAAGTTCCCGGACATTTCTGGCGGGAATGGCCCTAGCCCTCACCCTCCGATCCCACAGGTCCCAGACAGGCTCAATGGGATTGAGATCCAGGCTCTTTGCTGGCCATGGCAGAACACTGACGTTCCTGTCTTGCAGGAAATCACACACAGAACGAGCAGTATGGCTGGTGACATTGTCATGCTGGAGGGTCATGTCAGGATGAGCCTGCAGGAAGGGTACCACATGAAGGAGGAGGATGTCTTCTCTGTAACGCACAGCGTTAAGATTGCCTGCAATGACAACAAGCTCAGTCCGATGATGCAAGCCCAGACCATGACGGACCCTCCACCTCCAAATCGATCCCGCTCCAGAGTACAGGCCTCGGTGTAATGCTCATTCCTTCGACGATAAACATGAAACCGACCATCACCCCTGTGAGACAAAACTGCGACTAAGTCAGTGAAGAGCACTTTTTGCCAGTCCTGTCTGGTCCAGTGACGGTGGGTTTGTGCCCATAGGAGAAAGTTGTTGCCGGTGATGTCTGGTGAGGACCTACCTTACAACAGGCCTACAAGCCCTCAATCCAGCCTCTCTCAGCCTATTGCGGACAGTCTGAGCACTGATGGAGAGATTGTGCATTCATGATGTAACTTGGGCAGTTGTTATTGCCATCCTGTACCTGTCCCGCAGGTGTGATGTTCGGATGTACCGATCCGGTGCAGATGTTGTTACACATGGTCTGCCACTGCGAGGACGATCAGCTGTCCGTCTTGTCTTCCTGTAGCGCTGTCTTAGGCATCTCACAGTACGGACATTGCAATTTATTACCCTGGCCACATCTGCAGTCCTCATGCCTCCTTGCAGCATGCCTAAGGAATGTTCACGCAGATGAGCAGGGACCCTGGGCATCTTTCTTTTTGTGTTTTTCAGAGTCAGTAGAAAGCCTCTTTAGTGTCCCAAGTTTTCATAACTGTGACCTTAATTGCCTACCATCTGTAAGCTGTTAGTTTCTTAACGTCCGTTCCACAGGTGCATGTTCATTAATTGTTTATGGTTCATTGAACAAGCATGGAAAACAGTGTTTAAACCCTTTACAATGAAGATCTGTGAAGTATTTTGGATTTTTACAATTATCTTTGAAAGACATGGTCCTGAAAAAGGGACGTTTCTTTTTTTGCTGAGTTTACATGTTGCTTGAATTTTTTATTTTCCACGGTGGGTTTCGTCCCACTTTGAGCTATGGTGCTTTGATAAATTTAGTAGTTCTAAACCTGCGACTGCCTCCTGCCTACTCCTCTCTACACTTGAATGACCGACACAAGAAAACAGGAGGCAATAGGACATCCCAACCTCTCCGCTGTAGGACGAGGTGATCCAGACTGTACGCCAACTGCAGGCTACACCTCCACCTTCCCAGCTCCTCATGGTCGTTCCAGCCACCTCACCACCATCTACATCACCCAGTCTGATCAGCAACGTCCACCTGCCCCTCCCGGAGCGGTTTGACGGCACCCCAGCTCACTGCAGGGGGTTTCTTCTGCAGTGTGACCTCCACCTTGCACGTTATGCCGGGACGGCCCATGGAGGTGGGCACACGCACATTCCCCCGGAGGATCGTCAATGCCACCGTCAACAGGGTCTCTGCTCCTACTGCAGGGAGTCGGACCACCCCTGGAACACCTGTCCCAGTAGGAGAACCAGGCGAAGAAGCGACAGGCCCGAGGAGCAATCCTGCAACTTCCCAGGTAGGTGTGGACATGCCTTGCTCATCTCTGTCCACCCAGCCCATCCTCCTCCCTGTCACCTTCCCGGACTATCCTGGTCCCCCACTGAGTCCTGCCCTAGTGGACTCAGGTGCTGCAGGCAATTTCCTAGACCGGTCAGAGGCCTTATCATTATGCATTCCTTTAGTCCCTTTACAACCCCCTATCCCAGTCCATGCCTTAGACAAACGTTCCCTAGGAATAAGACTGGTAAGCCAAAGCACGATTCCCATTTCCCTCCAGTTGATCACAACCACCATGAACGCATCACGTTCCTCATCTTAGACTCTCCTGCACACCCCATAGTACCCCAGTCATAGACTGTTCTCTCTGCTACCGCACGGCAAGCGGTACCGGAGTGCCAAGTCTAGGTCCAAAAGACTTCTCAACAGCTTCTACCCCCAAGCCATAAAACTCCTGAACAGCTAATCATGGCTACCCAGACTATTTGCACTGCCCCCCCCCACCCCATCTTTTTACGCTGCTGCTTATTGCTGTTAATTATTTATGCATAGTCACTTTAACTCTACACACATGTACATATTACTTCAAATATCTCAACTAGCCGGTGCCCCCGTACATTGACTCTGCACCGGTACCCCCCTGTATATATAGCCTCCCTACTGTTATTTTATTTAACTTCTGCTCTTTTTTTCTCAACACTTTATTGTTGTTGTTTTATTTTACTTTTTTATTAAAAAATAAATGCACTGTTGGTTAAGGACTGTAAGTAAGCATTTCACTGTAATGTCTGCACCTGTTGTATTCAGCGCATGTGGCCAATAAAATGTCATTTGATTTGATTTGATATGTCTCCCCTGGTTACAGATGCATAACCCCAGTATATCGTGGACAGAGAAAAGGTTGTTGGGTTGATCACAGGAGTGTCAGGAGAGGTGTCTCTCGGTGTCTATCTGTGCCAACTACGTGTAAAGTCCGGACCAGGCCACTCACATCCCTATCCCGTAGGAATACCAGGACCTACAGTGCCTTGCAAAAGTATTCATCCCCCTTCACATTTTTCCTATTGTGTTTGCCCATTGACAAAGACATGATCAGTCTATAATTTTTATGTTAGGTTTATTTGAACAGTGAGAGACCGAATAACAACAAAAAAATCCAGAAATACGCATGTCAAAAATGTTATAAATTGATTTGCGTTTTAATGAGGGAAATAAGTATTTGCCCCTCTGCAAAACATGACTTAGTATTTGGTGGCAAAACCCTTGTTGGCAATCACAGAGGTCAGACGTTTCTTGTAGTTGGCCACCAGGTTTGCACACATCTCAGGAGGGATTTTGTCCCACTCCTCTTTGCAGATCTTCTCCAAGTCATTAAGGTTTCGAGGCTGATGTTTGGCAACTCGAACCTTCAGCTCCCTCCACAGCTTTTCTATGGGATTAAGGTCTGGAGACTGGCTAGGCCACTCCAGGACCTTAATGTGCTTCATCTTGAGCCACTCCTTTGTTGCCTTGGCTGTGTGTTTTGGGTCATTGTCATGCTGGAATACCCATCCACGACCCATTTTAAATGTCCTAGCTGAGTGAAGGAGGTTCTCACCCAAGATTTGACGGTACATGGCCCCGTACATCGTCCCTTTGATGCGGTGAAGTTGTCCTGTCCCCTTAGCAGAAAAACAACCCCAAAGCATAATGTTTCCACCTCCATGTTTGACGGTGGGGATGGTGTTCTTGGGGTCATAGGCAGCATTCCTCCTCCTCCAAACACGGCGAGTTGAGTTGATGCCAAAGAGCTCGATTTTGGTCTCATCTGACCACAACACTTTCACCCAGTTCTCCTCTGAATCATTCAGATGTTCATTGGCAAACTTCAGACGGGACTGTATATGTGCTTTCTTGAGCAGCGGGACCTTGCGGGCGCTGCAGGATTTCAGTCCTTCACGGCGTAGTGTGTTACCAATTGTTTTCTTGGTGACTATGGTCCCAGCTGCCTTGAGATCATTGACAAGATCCTCCCGAGTAGTTCTGGGCTGATTCCTCACCATTCTCATGATCAATGCAACTCCACGAGGTGAGATCTTGCATGGAGCCCCATGTCGAGGGAGATTGACAGTGCTTTTGTGTTTCTTCCATTTGCGAATAATCGCACCAACTGTTGTCACCTTCTCACCAAGCTGCTTGGCGATGGTCTTGTAGCCCATTCCAGCCTTGTGTAGGTCTACAATCTTGTCCCTGACATCCTTGGAGAGCTCTTTGGTCTAGGCCATGGTGGAGAGTTTGGAATCTGATTGATTGATCGCTTCTGTGGACAGGTGTCTTTTATACAGGAAACAAGCTGAGATTAGGAGCACTCCCTTTAAGAGTGTGCTCCTAATCTCAGCTCGTTACCTGTATAAAAGACACCTGGGAGCCAGACATCTTTCTGATTGAGAGGGGGTCAAATACTTATTTCCCTCATTAAAATGCAAATCAATTTATAACACTTTTGAAATACATTTTTCTGTATTTTTTTGTTGTTATTCTGTCTCTCACTGTTCAAATAAACCTACCATTAAAATTATAGACTGATAATTTCTTTGTCAGTGGGCAAACGTACAAAATCAGCAGGGGATCAAATACTTTTTTCCCTCACTGTATACACCTGTTCTGAAAGGCCCCAGAGTCTGCAACACCAATAAGCAAGGGGCACCACCAAGCAAGCAGCACCATGAAGACCAAGGAACTCTCCAAACAGGTCAGGGACAAAGTTGTGGAGAAGTACAGATCAGGGTTGGGTTATTAAAAAATATCAGAAACTTTGAACATCCCACGGAGCACCATTAAATCCATTATTAAAACATGGAAAGAATATGGCACCACAGCAAACCTGCCACGAGAGGGCCGCCCACCGAAATTAATGGACCAGGTAATGAGGGCATTAATCAGAGAGGCATCAAAGAGACCAATGATAACCCTGAAGTAGCTGCAAAGCTCAACAGCGGAGATTGGAGTATATGCCTGGTTCTACCCTCACGTGGGGGCATATCTACTCTCTCTCGCATGCAGAGACCGAAGCCATGGAGGTCTACATCCAGTAGATGCTGGCCTAAGGATTCCTCCGTCCGTCCACCTCTCCGGCCTCTTCCAGCTTTTTATTCGTGAAGAAGAAGGACGGAGGTCTCCTCCCCTGTATCAATTACCGGACACTGAATAAGGCTACGGTTAAATTCAGTTATCCCTGCCTCTCATATCCACTGTGATCGAACAGATACACGGTGCAAAGTACTTTACCAAATTGGATTTACGCAGTGCCTACAACATGGTGCGCATCAGAGAGGTGGATGAATGGAAGACCGCCTTCAGCACCAGCACCGGGCACTACAAATACATGGTAATGCCCTACAGCCTGACAAATGCACCCTCGGTGTCCCAATCCTTCATTAACGAGGTGTTTAGAGACATGTTGGGTCGCTCTGTAGTGGTGTACATAGACGACATCTTGGGGTACTCCACTACATGCGAGCAACATGTCTCTCATGTCAGGTCCGTTTTGGAGAGGCTGATAGGGCATCTCCTGTATGCCAAGGTGGGGAAGTGCCTTTTCTTCCAGCAGGCGGTCTCCTTCCTGGGCTATCGAATATCCACCGTGGGAGTGGAAATGGAAGAACAGAGGGTCAGTGCAGTACGGTCGTGGCCTGTTCCCTCCAACATCAAGGCGATGCAGCGCTTCCTAGGTTTTGCCAACTATTTCAGGCGCTTCATTAGGGGTTTCAGCACAGTGGTGGCCCCTCTCACCTCCCTCCTTATGGGAGGTCCTCGACAGCTGCACTGGACTGGGGAGGCCAATGAAGCCTTTCGTGCGCTCAAGGAACAGTTTACGAATGCACCGGTTCTGGCTCATCCTGTCCCATCTCTGCCCTTCATCGTGGAGATGGATGCCTCTGAGGTTGGAGTAGGGGCTGTTCTCTCCCAACGTACTGGATCGCCGCCTAAACTCTATCCATGCGCCTTCTACTCACGGAGCTGTCTCCCGCGGAGCGGAATTATGACGTGGGGTGATTGTGAGTTGTTGGCCGTCAAGAAGGCGCTGAAGGCATGCCGGCACTGGCTGGAGGCTGCTCAACACCCATTCCTTGTCTGGACGGACCACCGGAACCTAGAGTACATTCGAGCAGCGAAGAGGCTGAACCGCGTCAGGCCAGGTGGGCCCTATTCTTCACCAGGTTTGACTTTACCCTCTCCTACCGGCCGGGATCTAAGAATGTTAAGTCCGATGCATTGTCCCGGGTGCATGACACAGAGGATCGGAGGGAGGAAGTGACAACCATTATTCCCCTGTCCCGCATTGTGGCTCCTGTCATGTGGATTGTGTACGCGGACATCCGTCGAGCCCTGTGACAGGAGTCCTCACCTGCCCACTGTCCCGAGGGGCGTAACTACGTGCCCTCTGATGTGCGGGACCGATTCTTCGCCTTGGTACACACAGCACCTGTGTCGGGGCACCCGGGCATAGCCCATACAATCGGCTGTCTCTCCGCCAAGTACTGGTAGCCGACCTTGGGCTGGGACATCCGGGTTTACGTCTCTTCATGTTCCACCTGCACACAGAGCAAGACACCGAGATACCTTCCCTATGACAAACTCCACCCGCTGCCGGTTCCACAACTACCCTTGTCCCATCTCTCCATGGACTTTGCCACAGACCTTCCCCCCTCAGAGGGGCACACCACCGTCCTGGTCGTTGTGGACCGGTTTTCCAAAGCCTGTCATTTGATTCCTCTGCCTGGTCTCCCTACGGCCATGCAAACCACGGAGGCTCTCTTCTCTCATGTCTTCTGGCACTACAGTATCCCGGAGGACATTGTGTCAGACCGTGGTCCTAAGTTCACCTCCCGTGACTGGAAGGCCTTCATGGAACGACTGGTGATCACGGTCAGCCTCACCTCCGGGTACCCTCCCCAATCAAATGGGCAGGTGGAAAGTGTAAATCAGGAACTCGGTAGGTACCTTCGTAGTTACTGTCAGGACCTTGGGCAGAAAACACGCACAAAACTCCCTCCGTCACTCCTCCACTAACCTCAGACACTTTCAGTGTGTTCTAGGCTATCAGCCGGCCCTGGCACCGGAGTCAGATCGAGGCTCCTGCGGTGGACGATTGGTTCTGGCGCTCTGAGGAGGTATGGAACACAGCGCACACCCGTCTCCAGCGCGTCATCCTCTGGCAGAAGGTGCAGGCTGATCGTCACCGCAGTGTGGCCCCGGTCTTTCACCCCAGTGACAGGGTCTGGGTGTCTATGAAGGACCTGCCCCTCCACCTGCCCTGCCGTAAGCTGAGCCCGCGGTTTGTGGGGCCATTCAAAGTCCTGAGGAGAATCAATAAGGTGACATACAGAATACAGCTCCCCATCAATTACCGTATCTCACCCTCATTTCATGTATCTCTCCTCAGGCCGGAGGCAGCTGGTCCATTGGCTAGTGCTGGACACCACAATGCACCTCCCCCTCCCTTGGACATCGAGGGAGCCCCAGCGTACTCCATCCGCAGCTTGTTGGACTCAAGGCGTCGTGGGGGGTTTCTCCAGTACCTGGTCGACTGGGAGGGGCACGGTCCCGAAGAGCGGTGCTGGTTTCTGGCGCGGGACATCCTGAACCGTTCTCTCATTCGGGATTTCCACAGGCGTCGTCCTGACCGACACACACCGCATCTCCAGGGTTGTCCCCAAGGTCAGCGCGCCCCGCTGCTGGAGCAGCGCCTCAGGAGGAGGGTACAGTCACACCAGCCTTCGTTTTGGCTCCCCCTCCTGTCCAGCTCAGGTGTTCGGCGTCGCTGGCCTTCTAGCTGCTGCCGAACCTACTGCTGGCAAACGCCCCTCACTCATCAACCCCGGACTTGTCTCGTCATCATTACACACACCTGGTTCCAATCCCCACTCCATCACTGTATATATACTCCCTCTGTCATTTGTCTTTGTCGGTCATTGTATATGCCTCTTGTTTTCCTGAGAGGAATCTCTCATACTATTTCCTGAGTACTTTATATTTTGCACTGTGGGTTTCGTCCCGCTTTGAGCTATGGTGCTTTAATAAATACAGTAGTTCTAAACCTGTGACTGCCTCCTGCCTACTCCTCTCTACACTTGTGACAGTATTAATAGGCCATCCGTCATAGAGAAAACAATATTATATGCTAAAAACGGGATATTTAAAAAAAGATATGACTAAGACTAAGACAAGCAGTATAAGGACTTAAGAAATAATATAATTGCTGTTAAAGTTATTATTTGATATGCTTAGTAATGTGTAATGGTTGCTAATTTATATATACAATTCATCTGCCACACACTTTCTTTCAAACATTTGTTTCAACAAATAATTTTCTACATCACCTTAGGAGGTTCTCTCCAAGTTATGTTTGTTGGATAGCTACCAGTCCCTTGTCGTTGTGTTAAATGTTAAGTGTAGGCCTGTATGTACAGTATGTGTCGATTCATAATACTGTCAAAGTTCCCAAGCCTCTCTGTGGTACTTTGTCAGGATTAACGGTTCCTGTCCTATTTCCTTTCTCTTCCCATCATGTTGCTTGTAAAGTGGAAGGCGGTGAGGGTGCTGCAGAAAAGCCCCACCACAAAAAACATATGCGAGAGAAAAGGAGCTTTCTCTAAGTCTCTTTGTATCTGTTTTGTGGGTGTTATAGGGGAAAGGGAAAGTGGATACCTAGCTAGTTGCACAACTGAATGTATTCAATTGAAATGTGTCTTCCGCATTTAACCCAACCCCTGTGAATCAGAGAGGTGCAGGGGGCTGCATCAATCGATGTCCATGTCATCAGCGCCCGGGGAGCAGTTGTTGTTGGGGGTTAACTGCCTTGCTCAAGGGCAGAACGGACAATTTTTCCACCTCGCTGGCTCTGGGATTTACTGTACCAACGCATGATGGATGAAAGTAATGACTGTGAATTGCATGTAGGCTACTTCAAGCCACAACACCTCCTTTTATTATTTTATTAGACCAATGTGGTCTAAAAAGGAAGGAAATTACAATCACGAGGATCCACTTTTATAGACAATTTACCGACGCACAGAAACCGCATTGCACAAACAAAACAACCCTCATATCAACTGGAATTACATGGGTCTATTACTGAACTTTCTGTTTAACAAAAATATTTGAATGGGAAGAGACTATCACTGGAAAACATGGTTACAGACCCAACAACATTATATAGTATCCCCTCCTCGTGAAGAAAAGCACATGAGCTAATTATAACACACAAAGTAAGCAAAACAATGAAATCATTCCAACATTGCCTAAAATGATGAATAAAATACTAATGAGATAGACCTACAGTGCCTTGGAAAAGTATTCATCCCCCTTGGCGTTTTTCCACTAAGCAAGGGGCACCACCAAGCAAGCAGCACCATGAAGTCCAAGGAGCTCTCCAAACAGGTCAGGGACAAAGTTGTGGAGAAGTACATATCAGGGTTGGGTTATAAAAAAATATCTGAAACTTTGAAAATCCCACGGAGCACCATTAAATCCATTATTAAAAAATGGAAAGAATATGGCACCACAACAAACCTGCCAAGAGAGGGCCGCCCACCAAAACTCACGGACCAGGCAAGGAGGGCATTAATCAGAGAGGCAACAAAGAGACCAAAGATAACCCTGAAGGAGCTGCAAAGCTCCACAGCGGAGATTGGAGTATCTGTCCATAGGACCACTTTAAGCCGTACACTCCACAGAGCTGGGCTTTACGGAAGAGTGGCCAGACAAAAGCCATTGCTTAAAGAAAAAAATAAGCAAACACATTTGGTGTTCGCCAAAAGGCATGTGGGAGACTCCCCAAACATATGGAAGAAGGTACTCTGGTCAGATGAGACTAAAATTGAGCTTTTTGGCCATCAAGGAAAATGTCTGGCGCAAACCGAACACCTCTCATCGCACTGAGAACACCATCCCCACAGTGAAGCATGGTGGTGGCAGCATCATGCTGTTTTTCATCGGCAGGGACTGGGAATCTGGTCAGAATTGAAGGAATGATGGATGGCACTAAATACAGGGAAATTCTTGAGGGATACCTGTTTCAGTCTTCCAGAGATTTGAGACTGGGACGGAGGTTCACCTTCCAACAGGACGATGTCCCTAAGCATACTGCCAAAGCAACACTTGAGTGGTTTAAGGGGAAACATTTAAATGTCTTGGAATGGCCTAGTCAAAGCCCGGGGGGGGGGGGGGGGGGGGGGGGGGGGGGGGTATACATTTATAATGTCATGTTGTTTGCTTAGTTTGCTTCATTTTGCACTGAAAATAACACATGCAAGCTTTGCATATACTGTGGGTGCGATCTCTTGGTAGATCTGGCATGTGATTTAGGGCTGTATTCCGACCTGATAGACATACTGGTGTATCAGCCATTGCTTTAACAAGACCTTCTTGGGATTAGTAAAGTTCTACTACAACTACTTCTACACTCATATTGAGTCCGAATATGGCCTTCAAAAATTTACATAATAAATAGTGATTATAATTATTTTAGATATTAAGTATGCTACATGTGGTCATCATTAATGTACATCTCAAGTGTTTTGAGCAGTAAGTGCTAACAATTTTATCAAATAATTTCACAATTTTCTAATTATTATTTTTTTGTGTGTGATCAGGCAAGAAATTCAGATCGAAAGTCCCTGGGGTTATGATCACACAGTACGTGGAGGAAATACCAGAGGGAAAGAGCCACCCAGACTTCACCCGCAAGCCCATCGCTTTGACTATTCAGGAGGGTAAGAAACAGTTTATCTTGTAATATCCTGTATAACAAGCATTGTTCTCCTATTATTACTACTATACATAATATTGTGTGTCCTACTATTGCCTTTTAAGGAGAGGCATACACATTTACCGTAAAGTTGAGAGCATATACCACAGGCTTCTGACCATGACATGTGACAGTGGTCATAAGACATGTGATGCGTGGTGGAGGATAGGAAATGCAATCCTTACAGATGGCTCATATCACTTTCCACATTTGCAATTGGAATTAAATGTAGACTGTACATAATTTATGATTGTGACAACTTTCAATGCCCTACACACACCAAATATTTATTTAACCTGAGGGAAAAACGTACTTATTTAAGGGAAGACAACATGCACACAGATTGGGGACAAACCCTTTACATTTACATTTTACATTTTAGTCATTTAGCAGACGCTCTTATCCAGAGCGACTTACAGGAGCAATTAGGGTTAAGTGCCTTGCTCAAGGGCACATTTACGTCATTTAGCAGACGCTCTTATCCAGAGCGACTTACAAATTGGTGCATTCACCCTATAGCCAGTGGGATAACCACTTTCCAATTTATTTATTTATTTATTTATTTTTTGGGGGGGGGGGGGGGGGGGTAGAAGGATTACTTTATCCTATCCCAGGTATTCCTTAAAGAGGTGGGGTTTCAAATGTCTCTGGAAGGTGGTGAGTGACTCCGCTGTCCTGGCGTCGTGAGGGAGCTTGTTCCACCATTGGGGTGTCAGAGCAGCGAACAGTTTTGACTGGGCTGAGCGGGAACTATGCTTCCGCAGAGGAAGGGGAGCCAGCAGGCCAGAGGTGGATGAACGCAATGCCCTCGTTTGGGTGTAGGGACTGATCAGAGCCTGAAGGTACAGAGGTGCCGTTCCCCTCACTGCTCCATAGGCAAGCACCATGGTCTTGTAACGGATGCGAGCTTCAACTGGAAGCCAGTGGAGTGTGCGGAGGAGGGGGGTGACGTGAGAGAACTTGGGAAGGTTGAACACCAGACGGGCTGCGGCATTCTGGATGAGTTGTAGGGGTTTAATGGCACAGGCAGAGAGCCCAGCCAACAGCGAGTTGCAGTAATCCAGACGGGAGATGACAAGTGCCTGGATTAGGACCTGTGCTGCTTCCTGTGTAAGGCAGGGTCGTACTCTCCGAATGTTGTAGAGCATGAACCTGCAGGATCGGGTCTTGATGTTAGCGGAGAACGACAGGGTGTTGTCCAGGGTCACGCCAAGGCTCTTCGCACTCTGGGAGGAGGACACAACGGAGTTGTCAACCGTGATGGCGAGATCATGGAACGGGCAGTCCTTCCCCGGGAGGAAGAGCAGCTCCGTCTTGCCAGGGTTCAGCTTGAGGTGGTGATCCGTCATCCATACTGATATGTCTGCCAGACATGCAGAGATGCGATTCGCCACCTGGTTATCAGAAGGGGGAAAGGAGAAGATTAGTTGTGTATCGTCAGCGTAGCAATGATAGGAGAGGCCATGTGAGGATATGACAGAGCCAAGTGACTTGGTGTATAGGGAGAAAAGGAGAGGGCCTAGAACTGAGCCCTGGGGGACACCAGTGGTGAGAGCACGTGGTGCGGAGACAGCTTCTCGCCACGCCACTTGGTAGGAGCGACCGGTCAGGTAGGACGCAATCCAGGAGTGAGCCGCGCCGGAGATGCCCAGCTCGGAGAGGGTAGAGAGGAGGATCTGATGGTTCACAGTATCAAAGGCAGCAGACAGGTCTAGAAGGACAAGAGCAGAGGAGAGAGAGTTAGCTTTAGCAGTGCGGAGAGCCTTCGTGACACAGAGAAGAGCAGTCTCAGTTGAATGACCAGTCCTGAAACCTGACTGGTTTGGATCAAGAAGGTCATTCTGAGAGAGATAGCAAGAGAGTTGGCTAAAGACGGCACGCTCAATAGTTTTGGAAAGAAAAGAAAGAAGGGATACTGGTCTGTAGTTGTTGACATCAGTGGGATCGAGTGTTGGTTTTTTGAGAAGGGGTGCAAATCTCGCTCTCTTGAAGACGGAAGGGACATAGCCAGCGGTCAAGGATGAGTTGATCAGCGAGGTGAGGTAGGGGAGAAGGTCACCGGAGATGGTCTGGAGAAGAGAGGAGGGGATGGGGTCAAGCGGGCAGGTTGTTGGGCGGCCTGCAGTCACTAGTCGCAAGATTTTATCTGGAGAGAGAGGGGAGAAAGAAGTCAAAGCATAGGGTAGGGCAGTGTGAGCAGGACCAGCAGTGTCATTAGACTTAACAAACGAGGATCGGATGTCGTCAACCTTCTTTTCAAAGTGGTTGACGAAGTCATCCACAGAGAGGGAGGAGGGGGGGGGTGGGGGGGAGGATTCAGCATTGAGGAGAATGTGGCAAAGAGCTTCCTAGGGTTAGAGGCAGATGCTTGGAATTTAGAGTGGTAGAAAGTGGCCTTAGCAGCAGAAACAGATGAAGAAAATGTAGAGAGGAGGGAGTGAAAAGATGCCAGGTCGGCAGGGAGTTTAGTTTTCTTCCATTTCCGCTCAGCTGCCCGGAGCTCTGTTCTGTGAGCTCGCAATGAGTCGTCAAGCCACGGAGCTGGAGGGGAGGACCGAGCCGGCCGGGAGGATAGGGGACACAGGGAGTCAAAGGATGCAGAAAGGGAGGAGAGGAGGGTTGAGGAGGCAGAATCAGGAGATTGGAGGGAGAAGGATTGAGCAGAGGGAAGAGATGATAGGATGGAAGAGGAGAGAGTAGTGGGAGAGAGAGAGCGAAGGTTGCGGCGGCGCGTTACCATCTGTGTAGGGGCAGAGTGAGTAGTGTTGGAGGAGAGCGAGAGAGAAAAGGATACAAAGTAGTGGTCGGAGACATGGAGGGGAGTTGCAGTGAGATTAGTAGAAGAGCAACATCTAGTAAAGATGAAGTCAAGCGTATTGCCTGTCTTGTGAGTAGGGGGGGGACGGTGAGAGGGTGAGGTCAAAAGAGGAGAGGAGTGGAAAGAAGGAGGCAGAGAGAAATGAGTCAAATGTAGACGTAGGGAGGTTGAAATCCCCCAAAACTGTGAAGGGTGAGCCATCCTCAGGAAAGGAACTTATCAAGGCGTCAAGCTCATTGATGAACTTTCCAAGGGAACCTGGAGGGCGATAGATGACAAGGATATTAAGCTTAAATGGGCTAGTGACTGTGACAGCGTGGAATTCAAATGAGGAGATAGACAGATGGGTTAGGGGAAAAATTGAGAATGACCACTTGGGAGAGATGAGGATTCCTGTGCCACCACCCCTCTGACCAGATGCTCTCGGGGTATGCGAGAACACATGGTCAGACGAGGAGAGAGCAGTAGGAGTAGCAGTGTTTTCAGTGGTAATCCATGTTTCCGTCAGCGCCAGGAAGTCGAGGGACTGGAGGGTAGCATAGGCTGGGATGAAGTCAGCCTTGTTGGCAGCAGAACGGCAGTTCCAGAGGCTGCCTGAGACCTGGAACTCCAGGTGTGGGGTGTGTGCAGGGACCACCAGGTTAGAGAGGCAGCAGCCACGCGGTGTGAGGCGTTTGTGTAGCCTGTGCGGAGAGGAGAGAACAGGGATAGGCAGAGGCATAGTTGACAGGCTGTAGCAAATGGCTACAATAATGCAGAGGAGATCGGAATGAAATGAGCTAAACATCTGGGAAAGGAGAGAGCAAGGCCTCCCTCACCAAAAAAATATAACTCTCCCAACTTCCACCTCAGAAACTATAATTGTTTCACTGAACCACCCGAATAAAACTCTCCCAACTTCCACTTTAGAAATTAGAATTGTTGTAAACTACAGCGGTTCAATGTTTCAAGGACTAGACTCAACTTACTTTATTCAGCTAGCTAACTATGACACCATAGCTAACTAGCATGCTAGCATCCAACAACACACAGTTTAGCACCAATACTTGGTTACAACAAACTACCAATAGTGTGTTAACACACTAAACAGATAATTCGTGTCCGTGTCTAGTTCTTTCATAACGCAGCAATGATTAAACGTTGGCTAGCTAGCACAAAGATATTGTATTTAGCTACCACAGTACAGCCAGCTGGTAGTGTTGGCTAGCTAGCAATGGCTGCTGTGTTGACTTTGTTTGAGAAACGGCGTCGCTGCGAACGAATGTAGCTGGCTAAAAGGATACTGTATTTAGTTGCTACCGTTGCTAATAGCTACTAGCCAGCTAGTCCAGGAGGTGAGTTAGCTAGCTAGCTTCGTGCTACACCCGGCACCGCCGAATACAAAAGTAACCTACAATAACTACATACAACAACTACCCACAACAGCCCACGATGCCTACCTATAATACCTAACAATATATAGCCCACGATGCCTACCTATAATACCTAACTACAATCTAAATACATAGTTTAAGCCTTACTCGACAAAGCCCACGCTATGTATAAAGCCAAACTTACCCAACGCCAGCTAACTGGGTGGCAGACTGCAATCAGTAGCTGTAATTAAGTACAGCAGCTACCAACCACCTAACGTTAATGCCTCGGATAATGAGGTTAGAAAAACAGCTGAATGGTAGGTAGCTGGCTGGCTCAATTACAGGTACTCTTAAGCGTGAAATAACATTGGAAACAACTAACCACAGTTGCTAAAAGTTACCAGTAGCTACCCGCTAGCTAGCTAGCTTTGTTGGTCCAAGCTAGCACTCGTGCTTCGCCGGGGTCCGCCGAATACAATACTTACCTACAATAATTACCTACAATAACCTACAATAACCTACAATAACTACCTAAGTAAACTACCTATAATACCTGACTACAATACCTACCTACAATCTAAATACATGGTTTAAGCTTTAGTCAACATCATATAAGAAGCCAAGCTTACTTCCTGCTAGAGAAAACACAACCTCTCCCGGGCTCTCCGGGTACAGGTAAGAAACCTTACCTGTATCATGTTTCAGGAGAATACCCAGATGCAGACAATGTCGAAGTATCAAAAGTATTACAAAAACAGGGGGCAGGCAAACGACAGGTCAAGGGCAGGCAGAGGTCAGTAATCCAGATCAGAGTCCAAAAGGTACAGAATGGCAGGCAGTCTCAGGGTCAGGGCAGGCAGAGGTCAATAATCCAGGAGACAAAGGGCTGTGAGACATGGGTTTGATCCTAGACACATGAAAAGTGGGATGTATACGGAGGATACAGGGCAACAGAAGATGAACAGCAGAGGGGCTAATGATCTTGGAGATGGGGAAAGGACCGATAAACCAGGAGGAATGTTTGAGGGACTCCACCCGGAGGGGCAGATCTCGGGTGGACAGCCATGCCTTCTGCCAGAGACGATACCGGGTAGCCGGGGTCCGGTGGCAGTGCGCTTGTTGTCGATACCTGGAGGTGGTCTTGAGAAGAGCCGACCGGGCTCTCCTCCAGGTACGACGACAGCGGCGGACAAACAACTGGGCCGAGGGTATGCCGACCTCTTCCTCCTGCTCCGGGAAGAGCGGGGGCTGATAACACAGGGAACAGTCAAAGGGCGAAAGACCCGTGGTAGAGCAGGGAAGGGTGTTGCGGGCGTATTCGACCCACACTAGTTGTGGGCGTATTCGACCCACATTAGTTGCTGGCTCCAGGTGGTGGGGTTGGCGGAGACCAGGCCGTGCAGAGTCGTCTCCAGGTCTTGGTTGGCTCGCTCCGACTGGCCATTGGACTGAGGGTGGAAACCGGAGGACAGGCTGGCCAACGACCCAATGAGTGGGCAGAACGCCTTCCAGAACCGGGACGAGAACTGAGGACCTCGGTCGGAGACCATGTCCACTGGCGGTCCATGGATCTGGAAGATGTGCTGCACCATGAGCTGGGCCGTCTTGTTGGCGGAGGGTAGCTCGGGGAGAGGAATGAAGTGGGCGGCTTTGAATCAGACAGGAGTCTTGTTCTGCCCACAGATCGTGCAGGCGGCGATGAATGTGGAAACGTCAGGAACCATGGTAGGCCACCAATAGCATTGTCGCACAAAGGCCAGGGTCCAACGGGAGCCCGGGTGGCAGGCAAGCCTGGAGGAGTGGGCCCACTCCAGGACCGAGGAGCGGACAGCGTTAGGAACAAACATCCAGTTGTCTAGGCCCCCCCGGGGTTCGGCTGGGAATGCTGTGCCTCCCGGACTTGCTTCCCTATTCCCCAACTGAGAGCCGTCGCCAAGTACGAAGTGGGAAGGATGGTCTCGGATTCTGGGGATGTAGCCGCTGGGCTATAGCGGTGTGACAGCGCATCTGAAAAGCAGGGCCCATCTATCTTGCCTGGAATTGAGACGCTTGGCGGTGCATAGATATTCCAAGTTCTTGTGGTCTGTCCACACAATGAACAAATGTTCCGCCCCCTCCAGCCAGTGCCTCCACTCCTCCAACGCCATCTTCACCACTAAAAGCTCACAATTCCCCACATCGTAATTCCTCTCCGTGGCGTTGAGGTGATGGGAGAAGAAGGCACAGGGATGTAACTTGAGGTCCAGGGCCGAACACTGGGACAAGACCACCCCCACTCCGACATCCGAAGCATCGGCCTCCACCACGAACTGGCGGGACGGGTCAGGATGAACCAAGATGGGAGCAGTGGTGAAACGGTGTTTGAGGTCCCGGAACACCCGGTCAGCAGCTGGGGACCATGTGAACGGAACATTGGGAGAGGTGAGTGCAGACAGGGGGGAAGCCAGGGTTGATTTAACCCGGAATAATCGCAGATAAAAGTTGGCGAATCCCAGGAAACATTGCAGCTGCACTCTGGACATAGGCTGGGCCAATCCACCACCGCTCTCACCTTCCCGGGAACATCTGTACCCTCCCTGCAGCGATGATGTAGCCCAGGAAGGGGATGGTGGAGCGATTGAATTTGCATTTCTCCACTTTCACAAAAAGCTGGTTCTCCAGGAGGCGTTGGAGGACCTGTCGGACGTGTAGCACATGTTCTTGGGCGGAGCGGGAGAAGGATGTCATCGAGGTAGACGAAGACGAACCGGTTCAACATGTCACGGAGAACATCATTAACCAGGGTCTGGAACACAGCTGGAGCGAAATGGCATGACCAGATACTCGTAGTGACCGCTGACCATGTTGAAGGCAGTCTTCCACTCGTCCCCCTCCCGTATCCGCACCAGGTGGTAGGCATTCCGTAGGTTCAGCTTGGAGAACACGTTGGCCCCCTGAAGCAGCTCGAAGTCTGAGGAGATGAGTGGTAGCGGGTAGCGGTTCTTCACCATGATGTCGTTGAGGCCCCGGTAGTTGATGCACGGGCGCAGGGTTTTGTCCTTCTTTTCCACAAAGAAGAATCCTGTGCCGGCAGGGGATGCAGAAGGACGGAGGAATCCGGAAGCTAGGTAGTCCTCAATGTAGGTCTCCATAGCCTTGGTCTCCGGACCCGACAGTCGTCCCCGGGGCGGAGTGGTGCCTGGTAGAAGGTAGATTCCACCGTCGTAGGGTAGGTGCGGCGGAAGCGAAGTGGCCCGGGCCTTACTGAATACCTCCCGGAGGTCCTGGTACTCCGCGGCAATGGCAGAGAGGTCCGAGGCAACCTCCGAGCCCCCAGGAAGACGTCCCGCGGAAGGCTGTGCTGACTTCAGGCAATGAGCGTGGTAGAACGGGCTCCAGCCCATGATGGCACCAGTAGACCAGTAAATAAAGGGGTTGTGTCACTGGAGCCAAGAAAACCCAATACCACGGGAACCTGAGGGGACTTAATTAGCAGTTCCCTGATACTCGTAGTTTGATGGGGTGGTATTGTGGGTGACCCGGCCTATAGAGTGCCCGTAAACGTCCATGGGAATGGAGAGGGGCTGAGTGGGGATGCCCAGCTCGGACGTCAGGGTAGTGTCCATAAAGCTCTCATCGACCCCAGAGTCGATGAGTACCCAGAGATATTTCGACTGGTTCCCCCACAGCCAGATGGCATGAAAGGGGGTGCGAGTAAGGGCAGAGGAAAAGTTATACGTATGGCCCACCAGTGTACTCGCTCCTACCGGTGAGCCTGGTCTTTTAGTGGACAGGTGGACACAAAATGACCAGTATTCCTGCAATACAGGCAACTCTTCGTGTGAAGCCTGTATTGCCGTTCGGCTCGAGACAGCCTAGCTCTGCCTAGTTGCATCTGCTTGGGAAGAGGTGAATCGGCAGACTTCGGAGACTCTAGGGTAGCCTTGGGTTCTCTCGGCAACAGAGCCGTCGGGGACTTCCGGGATGCCTCTGAGGCGAGGTGGAATCCTTCCTCTCCTTCCTTCGTTCCCGTAGTCGCCCATCGATCCGAATGGTCAAGACAATGAACGTGTCGAGATCCGTCGGTAGTTCTCGGGCTGCAAGCTCATTCTTTACTTCCTCCGATCCTCCGTGCAGGACGAAAAAGACAGGAGCAAGGGGAAAACCGCTGGTAGGCTTGACGAAACAAAACAAACTGGCAACAGACAGAGAACACAGGTATAAATACACTGGGGATAATGGGGAAGATGGGCGACACCTGGAGGGGGGTGGAGACAGTCACAAAGACAAGTGAAACAGATCAGGGTGTGACAACCTGTTCAAAGAGTATCTTAAATAAGACATCTCAGTCGAACTCCTGATAACGTCTTTATTGAGGAAAAATTTACTTGCTACTACTGTGATACAGTGCCTTCAGAAAGTATTCACACCCCTTGACCTTTTCCATATTTTCTTGTGTTACAGCCTACATTTTTAATTGATTACATTGAGATTTTCTGTAAATGGTCTTAACACAATATCCCATAATGTCACAGTGGAATTATGTTTTTTGAAAATTTTACAAATTAATAAAAAATTTAAAGCTGAAATGTATTGAGTCATTAAGTATTTAACCCCTTTGTTATGGCCAAAAAAATGTCAGGAGTAAATATTTGCTTAACAAATAATTTAATAAGTTGCATGGACTATGGGAGGTTTTCCAATGCCTCGCAAAGAAGGGCACCTATCGATAGATGGGTAAAGAAAATAAGACATTGAATATCCCTTTGAGCATGGTGAAGTTATTAATGACACTTTGGATGGTGTATCAATACACCTAGTGACTACAAAGATACAGGTATCCTTCCTAACTCAGTTGCTGGAAGGATCCTGGAAGGATCCCACTCAGTGATTTCACCATTAGGTCAATTGTGACTTTAAAACACTTACAGAGTTTAATGTCTGTGATAAGAGAAAACTGAGGATTGATCAACAACTTTGTAGTTACTCCACAATACTAACCTAATTGACAGAGTGAACAGAAGGAAGCCTGTACAGAATAAAAATATTACAAACCATGCATCCTGTTTGCAATAAGGCACTAAAATAAAACTGCAAAAAAAATGGCAAAGAAATTAACTTTATGTCCTGAATATAAAGCGTTATGTTTGGGGCAAATCCAACACAACACATCACTGAGTACCACTCTTCATATTTTCAAGCATGGTGGTGGCTGCATCATGTAATGGGTATGCTCGTCATTGGCAAGGGAGATTATTATGATAAAATTAAATGGAATTGAGCTAAGCACAGGCAAAACATTAGAGGAAAATCTGGTTCGATCTGCTTTCCAACAGACACTTGGAGACAGTCACCTTTCAGTAGGACAATAACCTAAAACACAAGTATACACTGGAGTTTCTTACCAAGACGACATTGAATGTTCCTGGGTGGCCTAGTTACAGTTTTGACTTAAATCGGCTTGAAAATCTATGGCAAGACTTGAAAATGGCTGTCTAACAATGATCAACAACCAACTTGACAGAGCTTGAATAATTTAAAAAAGAATAATGTGCAAATATTGTACAATCCAGGTTTTCAAAGCTCTTAGAGACTTACCCAGAAAGACTCACAGGTGTAATCGCTGCAAAAGGTGATTCTAACATGTATTGACTCAGGGGGTTGAATACTTATCTAATCAAGTGTTTTATTTTAGTGTTTTATTTATCATCTTTTTCTTTCTTTTTACAAATGTAATAATTTTTCTTCCACTTTGACATTACAGAGTATTTTGTGTAGATCATTGAAAACAAATTACAATTAAATCAATTTTAACCCACTTTGTAACACAACAAAATGGGACTTGTTTCAGGAAATTAGGCGTATGTCGCACATCACTACTTCACAGAAGAGCCATTTGAACGTAAACTTTTTTAAATAAAAAAGGAACATGTGATCTTTCATGTGCCTTAATTACAAACTTGTATGCCATCTGAAATTCTGAATAAAATTGTTAAATTACGAGCCTAGTTGGTTTAGCCACAGAAAAAGACAGCAACCTTCCCGCTAGCCATGATTGGCTGAGAAAATGAGTGGGCTGGACATGCCGAGAGATGAGTACGGATTGGTCTACCATGTAGGACGCTTCTGTCTATAACATGAGATGGTCAGTATGTGTAGGTAATCCATTCTAACACAGCTTTTTAAAAATATATCACGTAGTAGAACTGCATAAGTATTGTTCTCCAATTTATGGAGGACCGAGTTTGAAATCAGTGGTATTAGAGTACGGTAGCTAAGGAGATGGAGAAAATTTGAGTCAAAAAGAGAACACACAAAAGGCTGTTGTATAAAATACCTGTCTCCAGATTACATCTTCAAACTAAGGGCAACCATGGCATCCGTGACAGAGGGAGAAGCGTCCATCCATGTCTACTGGTAAGATAGTCTAGCTAGCTATATTTTCAGATATTACATGTTTCTAATTTTCTAAGTGTACTGTTAGCTAGCTAGCTAACGTTAGCTGGCTGGCTCGCTAGCTAACATTTACATTTTAGTCATTTAGCAGACGCTCTTATCCAGAGCGACTTACAGTTTGTGAATACATATATATACAGTGCCCTCCACTATTATTGGCACCCCTGATTAAGATGTGGTCGAGGACTTCCAAAAATTCTCCTTTTTTTTTTAAACAACATAGAACCCAAATGCAAAAAAATAGAAAAATCCAACCTTTTATTTAAGTACATTACTTTGGTGGTAAAAAAAAAATCACACATTTAGAAAAAATTTACTTGAAATCATGTGTGCCACAATTATTGGCACCCATAAAAATTCCGCTGAAAATTTTAATTGATTTTTAAAAAAATATATTTTTCTGTAGTTGCTAAAGTTGGTCAGGGTATCTAGGAACTTTTAATTGGTAATTCATGACCTCCTGTTTCCCTGGGGTATAAATATGACGTGACACAGAGGCCTAATTCTCTTACCCATTTGTCAACATGGCAAAGACAAGAGAACACACCATTCAAGTAAGGCAGATTTGTGTCGACCTTCATAAGTCAGGCAATGGCTACAAGAAAATAGCCACTCGCCTTAACTTGCCCGTATCTACAGTCAGAGGAATCATTAAGAAGTTTAAAACAACTGGAACAGTGACAAACAAGGCTGGAAGAGGTCCCAAGTTTATCTTGCCACAACGCACAGTGAGGAGGATGGTAAGAGAAGTAAAAAAAAGTCCTAAGCTCACTGTCACAGAATTGTATCAAAGAGTGGCATCTTGGGGTCACAAAGTCTCCAAAACAACCATCAGACGCTCTCTACATGCCAACAAGCTGTTTGGGAGGCATGCAAGGAAAAAGCCTTTTCTCACTAACACTCACAAACGTAAACGTCTGGAGTTTGCTAAGCGGCACTGGGACTTCAACTGGGATCGTGTGCTTTGGTCAGATGAGACTAAGATTGAGCTTTTTGGCAACAAACACTCTAAGTGGGTCTGGCGTAAAACAAAAGATGAGTATGCCGAAAAGCACCTCATGCCCACCGTGAAGTATGGTGGAGGATCTGTGATGCTGTGGGCCTGTTTCTCTTCCAAAGGCCCTGGGAACCTTGTTAGGGTGCATGGCATTATGAACGCTTTGAACTACCAGGACATTTTAAATAAAAACCTGATGGCCTCTGCCAGAAAGCTGAAGATGGGTCGTCATTGGGTCTTTCAGCAGGATAATGATCCAAAACATGTGGCAAAATCTACACAAAATGGTTCAGCAGTCACAAACTCAAGGTCCTCCCATGGCCATCTCAGTCCCCAGACCTCAACCCAATCGAAAACCTGTGGGGCGAGCTAAAGAGGAGAGTGCATAAGAGAGGACCCAGGACACTGGATGATCTAGAAAGATTGTGCAAAGAAGAATGGTCAAAGATCCCTCTCTCTGTGTTCTCCAATCTTGTGAAATGTTATAGGAGGAGATTAAGTGCTGTCTTGTTGGCAAAAGGGGGTTGTACAAAGTATTAACATCAGGGGTGCCAATAATTGTGGGACACATGATTTCAAGTTATTTTTTTTCTAAATGTGTGATTATTTTTTTTTTACACCAAAGTAATGTACTTAAATAAAAGGTTGGATTTTTCTCTTTTTTTGCATTTGGGTTCTATGATGTTTAAAAAAAAAGAGAATTTTTGGAAGTCCTCGACCACATCTTAAACAGGGGTGCCAATACTTGTGGAGGGCACTGTATATATATATTTTTTTCTTTCATACTGGTCCCCCATGGGAATCGAAACCTACAACCCTGGCATTGCAAACGCCATGCTCTATCAACTGAGCTACATCCCTGCCGGCCATTCCCTCCCCTACCCTGGACAACGCTAGGCCAATTGTGCGCTGCCCCGGTCGCGGAGTCTCCCGGTCGCGGCCGGCTGCGACAGAGCCTGGATTCGAATCAGGATCTCTAGTGGCACAGCTAGCACTGCGATGCAGTGCCTTAGACCACTGCGCCACTAACGTTATGTGTATGATCAGTGTAGTAATATTATTCATGTCTCAGAGCCATTTGCATTGCTAGTTATAGCCTAATGTTAGCTAGCTAACATTGAACTTGGTTGGTTAGCAGATTCAGTTTTTTTTGTCTTATTTCTTGCATCTTCAACGTGGTAGGCATGTTGTGTAAATCAAATGATACAAACCCACAAAAAATCTATTTTAATTCCAGATTGTAAGGAAACAAAATAGGAAAAATGCCAAAGGGGGTGAATACTTTCGCAAGACATTGTATGCATAGTAGCAGTATCAAAAATAAAAAGTGTCCAGATCAAAATATTGCAGAAATATTTCATAATTATTAGATTATGTTTACCCAGTGTCGTGACGTGACTTTCGTTAATGTGATGACTGTAATTTATCGAATCAACAAACTATGTTTAATTGTTATTCGATTTAATTAATCATGTAACAATTAACTCATTAGGATTTGAGGCACCATGGAAGAAGTTGTTTATAGAGTTACCATCTCCCTGAATTAAACTCTAAAAGGTCTTTACCTGTCACTATGTATAAAACAGTCAACGTATCAATCATTACCTCAACTTCTTGGATCTGCACGAACCCCAGCTTTACTTATGATTCAGCACTAAACACATTGGCTTACTTATTTATTCACTAGCTAACTAAATAATAACACATAATACAGACATACTTAATACATGAGAAAAAGTCCCTAGCGGACTAACAACAGCATGACTGCTTGGTTATCAAAAGAGGGCAGGGTAAAGGAAGAGGGAGAGGGAGAGACAAAGAGAGAGTTAAACTTATCGTTGATACGTTTGGAAACTACCCTCAAAGTAATCATCCTACTTTGCTCATGAACCACCGCCCATTTTGGAGTAAGAAACCAATGAATGTATGAATGTGTTTGCCGCTCGTCTATCTCTGTTGACCCAAGCCCTCTTGGAAAGGAGGTTTTGGCTGGGTCTTCGCTCAGCTCACTTGTAAGGCTCTGATTGTTCACCAGAGGTCACAATGTCTTTCTTCTTTGTCCTGGCTTGTAGTGGAGTGTACTCAGAGCTGATACTCGGTGATTGTAAAATGGGATTTTCTCCTACCCACCTCGTGTCTTTAGTCAAAGTTCTAGATCACTTTACATGCACAGCTGCAGACTGGCAATGCTCTGGTCTAGTGAGTGTATCTTCTTCACCTCGTGTTGAGATTCAAAGGTCTAACCATTTAAAGTCGTGTAGCCACAGTGCCACACTTTCTGGTCTCAGAGTTTCAACCATTTGTAACGTTTAGCTCACGCTACACGTCTGCTGGTCTGATGAGTGCTTTTTATGCACTCTGGTAAAAAGTGGGCATTCCATCACACCAACACGATGCCTGTGCTCAGTTGGGGCATGGCTAGTCACTGTGCATAGTTGACATGAAAAACAATTATCTCATTAGAAAACATTCCTATCTTAATCTTTAATCATATATTTTATACAACATTTGGGTGTAAACTTGACAGATAGAATGTCTACGCTTTCCGAGTTACAGTTATTTCTTGATACCATACTTAATGACATCACAAAATAATAAACAATATGACATGATTATTCTGTAGGTCCCCACTGACCATTCTTAACATTCGGGAAGATATAAATAATGTTCCAATGTTCACTTTTTGGACAAAAAGGTTTTGGCGGCAAAAAGTATCTGGAACAAAGAAAGCCTTTAGTAATAATGCAGAGCAGGAGGGAGATGACCCTCCTCCCTAATTTACGACAGAGTAATACGACAGGTTTCAAAAAACCGGCCAAGTTATCCTTCCCCTCATCCGTGGGTGAGAGGGTCTGTTTGTTGTCAGCCATTTGCCAAGCTGATCTGAGGCCTTTGGATCCTCAGCCAGGAGAGTCATGACACCAGAGAGACTTGATGGGTCTTGTGAAATAAATGCCATAACCATCCCCTATGTTGATGATGGGTCACTATTGTCTAGACATGTACACATGTTCATGAAATACAATAGATGGCCGTAATCACCCCCAGACACCTGGATACCTTGATGGGTCATTTGAAAGAGAGTCTAGAACCACCCCACAGCCATATATAGCTATTTGGAAAAATGCCAAGGGGGGTGAATACTTTCGCAAGCCACTATATATGCATACAATCAGGGGTAAAGTGGCTGAGCAGCAGGATAAAAAAATTAATAGGAGAGAGTCATGTGAATGTGCCTAGAGGCACTGCAGATAGTCTGGATGACTGGGAACTCGCGCCAAGTGATGAACTGGTCCATCCTCTCCATGCATGAACAAGGAAATCTATACTGAACAAAAAAAAATACGCAAAATGTAAATTGTTGCTCCCATATTTCATGAGCTGAAATAAAAGATCCTAGAAATTTTACATACGCACAAAATGCTTATTTCTCTCTAATGTTGTGCACAAATTTGTTTACATTCCTGTTAGTGAGCATTTCTCCTTTGCCAAGATAATCCATCCACCTGACAGGTGTGGCATATCAAGAAGCTGATTAAATAGCATGATAATTTGGAGGGAGCGTGATATTGGCATGCTGACTGCAGGAATGTCCACCAGAGCTGTTGCCAGGGTATTGAATGTTAATTTCTCTACCATAAGCCGCTTCCAACGTCGTTTTAGAGAATTTGGCAGTACGTCCAATCGGCCTCACAACCGCAGACCACGAGTAGCCACGCCATCCCAGGACCTCCACATCCGGCTTCTTCACCTGCAGGATCTTCTGAGACCAGCCACCTGGACAGCTGATGAAACTGTGGGTTTGCACAACTGAATAATTTCTGTACAAACATGAAAGTTCACATGTTCCAGAATGCATTTTCTGATAAAAAATATGTTTACGTTCAAATGCCTCTCCTGTGAAGTACTGACATGCGGCATATGCCAAGCTTCTTGAAACGGGTCACATATCTATAGAGATCCCTTTCATTAACTCCACCATAGTTATCATTAACCGTTATACCATTAATACTTATATCAACAGTAGTCTCAATTAACAGTCAGCAAAAGTTCCTCTCAGGTGATTGTTTCGGTCAGAGTTGCGATGAATCATGAATCTCTCAGGGTGTGGCCACACCTCACCAAGATCTGATCCCATGAGTCTTAGTCAGTCTCCCTACTTATAGTGGGGGAGGGCTCAGCCAGGAAGTGTCTTGAAGATGGCCAGTCACTCCTTTGAGTTTACCATAGGTTATGCCACTATTCGGACAAAACCTGAGATTTCCTAATAAGTGTTCACAGCATGTTTAAATGTGCTTTGAACCAAAAAAAACGATCTCCAGGTATCACGACTTCCTCCAAAGCTGCCTCCTCTCCTGGTTCGGGCAGGCTTCGGCGTTCGTCGTCACCGGCCTTCTAGCCACTGCCGCTTCTCATCTCATCATTCCATTTGTTTTCTCTTGTTTATTACACACACCTGGTTCATATCCCCTCATTAGTACTTGTATGTCCATTGTTCCCTCTGCCCCCTTGTCCTTGTGTGTGATTGTTTATTGTGAGGAGAGTGTAGCTCGGTTGAGCTCCGTGTATTTTGTATTGCCTGTTTGATTCCAGTGCGCCTGTTTTGCGCACTGGACTGTTTGACGCATTTCTGCGTAACTCTGTATTCCGGAATAAATTCTGTATTATGTGATTTACCCTACTGCGCCTGACTCCTTCAAATCACCCATCACAGAATCACACACCTGCCATGGAGTCAGCAGGAGAGGAGGTCATGCCTGTAGTCGTGGCACGGGTCTAGGAGCATGCGACGATGCTAGCCAGCTTGGGAGAAGCGATGAATCAGGTTCTCCAGGTCGTCCAACGCCTGGAGAGGAGAGAACCCGATCTGTCGGGACCAGCTGGGCGACCGGATCCAGCCACTCACACCCCAGCACCCAGAGGGATCCATATATACCGACCACGTGATTTCGACGGGAACAGCTGCTCTCTGCCAGGGATTCCTCCTCCAACTGGAGCTTTACTATTCCACCATCAGCCCGGCCCCATCGGAGCGGGAGAAGGTGTCCGCCCTCGTCTCCTGCCTCTCGGGGAAAGCCCTGGAGTGGGCCAACGCCGTCTGGAATGAAGGAGGAGCCGCATTGGACAATTACAGGGAGTTTGCTCACCTCTTTCGTGCTGTCTTCGATCACCCGCCCGAGGGTCGAGAGGTGGGCGAGCGGCTGGTCCACCTGAGGCAGGGGACGAGGACCGCACAGGACTTCGCCCTGGAGTTCCGGACTCTAGCAGCTGGGTGGAACGAGTGGGCCCTCATCAACCACTTCCGGTGCCATCCACGGGAGGATGTCCGAATGGAGCTAGCCTGCCGGGACACCATGTTGTCCTTCACTCAACTGGTGGACATGGCCATCTGGTTGGACAACCTGCTGGCGGCCAGAGGACGTCCTGGAGGGGGCCTGCCCGTTCCAACCCCGCCCGACCCGGATAACGAGCTGGGTGGAGCGGCGATCCGGGAGAGCGGAGGACGACAGCGCTAGTGTCACTCTGGTGGCACGAGAGGACATTTCACTGCACGATGTCGTCAGCTTTCTTTTGGGTCTGGAGGCGGCAGGCAGGGCACTCACGCGTTACCCCAGGTATTGAACACCCACACTCGTTCAGAGCCCTCTGCTGCGCACTGTACCCTACCCATCCACTTTCCTGATTACATTGTAGTTCCCCAGTGTAAGGCGCTGGTCGATTCAGGCGCATCTGGGAACTTTATGGACAGGTCATTTTCACACAGTCTAGGCATTACATTGGTTCCCCTATCCATTCCACTTCCCATCAGAGCACTTGACAGTCAACCATTAGGGTCCGGGTTCATTAGGGAGGTTACAGCATCAGTCACTATGGTTACACACGAGACTCATCGCGAGCTAGTCACTTTTTTTTATTATTGAGTCTCCTGCTTTCCCTGTTGTGTTAGGTATTCCCTGGTTAGCACTCCAAAACCCCACCTTTTCATGGTCGCGGAGGGTTCTCACGGGGTGGTTGCGAGAGTGTCAGGGTAGGTGTCTCGGTGTTTCTGTTGGAGCAACCTCGGTGGAATGTCCAGACAGTACCTCCACCGTGCCCATTCCCCCCGAATACATCGATTTGTTGCACGCGTTTTCCAAAACGCAGGCGACCAAATACCACCTCATCGGGCGGGGGACTGCGTGATAAACCTCCGGGTAGACGCTGTTCCTCCCAGGACTCATGTGTATCCCCTGTCACAGGCTGAAATGGAGGCTATGGAGACATACGTCTCTGAATCCCTGCGCCAGTGGTTTATACGTCCCTCCACTTCGCCTGCCTCCTTGAGTTTCTTTTTGTGAAGAAGAAAGACGGGGGTCTGCGCCCTTGCATTGATTACCGATCACTGAACAAGGGGACGATACGATTTAGTTATCTTCTACCCCTCAGTCCATCTGTGACCAAGTCAATGCATGGGGCACGCTTCTTCACAAAATTAGATCTCTGGAGTGTGTACAACCTGGTGCGTGTCCGAGAGGAGGACAGCATTCAGCACAACCACGGGGCATTACGAATACCTGGTGATGCCTTACGGTTTGATGAACGCTCCATCCGTCTTCCAGTCCTTTGTGAATGAGGTGTTTCGGGACATGCTTGGTCACGGTGTAGTGGTCTATATCGATGACATTCTGGTGTATTCCATTACGCGCGCCGAGCATGTGTCCCTGGTTCGCAAACTGCTGGCCTGACTGTTGGAACATGACCTTTCTGCTAAGGCAGAATAGTGTCTGTTTTTCCAACAATCCGTCTCCTTCCTCAGATACCGCATTACCACCTCAGGTGTGGAGATGGAGGGAGATCGCATTTCAGCCGTGCGTAATTGGCCGACTCCAACCACGGTAAAGGAGGTGCAGCGCTTTATTGTCTTTGCCAACTACTATAGGAGGTTTATCCGTGGCTTTGGCAAGGTCGCAGCTCCCATCACATCTCTGTTGAAGGTGGGCCGTCCCGGCTCCGCTGGTCTGCTGAGGCTGACAGGGCCTTCAGTAACCTGAGGGGTCTGTTCACCTCAGCCCCGGTGCTGGCCCAACCCGATCCATCACTGCCGTTCGTAGTGGAGGTGGATGTGTCCGAGGTAGGGATAGGCGCGGCCCTATCTCAACGCTCGGGCACGCCACCCAAGCTCCACCCCTGTGCCATCTTCTCCAAGAAGCTCAGCCTGCCGGAGCAAAACTAAGACGTAGGTGATTGGGAGCTGTTGGCTGTTGTCCGAGCACTGACCATGTGGAGGCACTGACTCGAAGGGGCGAAACACCCTTTCCTCGTCTGGACGGACCACCATAGCCTGGAGTACATCCGGGCAGCGAGGAGACTGAAACCTTGCCAGGCCAGGTGATTTTACACTATCATACATCCCAGGTACAAAGAACGTGAAGGCAGACGCACTGTCACGGCTGTTCGACACAGAGCAGAGGCCCAGAGAAAACACCCCCATACTCCCGGCCTCCTGCATTGTGTGCACCGGTAGTATGGGCGATGGACGCGGATATAGAGCAGGTGTTACGCACAGAGCCATCTCCACCTCAGTGTCCAGCTGGGCTGCAGTACGTGCCTGCTCTTGTCTGTGACCGTCTGATCTACTGGGACACACATGTCCCCCTCCTCTGGTCACCCAGGGATCGGTCATACAGTGCGCTGCCTGACCGGAAAGTACTGGTGGCCTACCTTGGCTAAGGACGTGAGGGTGTATGTCTCCTTCTGCTCGGTGTGCACCTAGGCACCTCCCAGCGGGTAAGTTACAGCCTTTACCAGTTCCAAAACGGCCATGGTCTCACCTGAGTATTGATTTCCTTACTGATCTTCCCCTCTCTCAAGGTAACACCACCATCCTAGTCGTTGTGGACTGCTTTTCCAAAGCCTGTTGCATCCTTCCTCTGCCCGGTCTCCCCACGGACCTGCAGACTGCGGAGGCCCTGTTTACACACGTCTTCCGGCACTACGGGGTACCAGAGGACATAGTGTCTGCCCGGGGTCCCCAGTTCACATCCAAGGTCTGGAAGGCGTTCATGGAACGTCTAGGGGTCTCGGTCAGCCTGACCTCTGGTTTCCACCCCGATTCTAACGGGCAGGTGGAATGGGTGAATCAGGATGTGGGTAGGTTCCTGTGATCCTACTGCCAGGACCGGCCGGGGGAGTGGTCGGTGTTCTTGCCATGGGCCAAATATGCCCAGAACTCTCTTCGTCACTCCTCCACTAACCTAACGCCATTCCAATGTGTTTTAGGATATCAACCGGTTCTGGCACCGTGGCACCAGAGCCAGACCGAGGCTCCTGCGGTGGATGACTGGTTTCGGCTCGCGGAGGAGACGTGGAATGCTGCTCACGTCCACCTCCAATGCTTTGCGCGTCGTCAGAAGGCCAACTCCTACCGCCACCACAGTGAGGCCCCGGGTAATCGGGTATGGCTCTCGACCTGGAATCTGCCCCTCCGCCTGCCCTGCCGGAAGCTGAGCCCGCGGTTTGTGGGGCCGTTCAAAGTCCTGAGGAGGATAAACGAGGTTACCTATAGGTTATTACTCCCACCAGATTAACGTATTAACCCCTCGTTCCATGTGTCTCTTGTTCCATGTGTCTCTCCTTAAACCGGTGGTGGCTGGTCCGCTCCAGGAGTCTGAGGTGCGGGAGGTCCCTCCGAATCCTCTGGACATCGAGGGGGCCACGGCATACTCTGTCCGTTCCATCCTGGATTCAAGGCCTTCAGTACCTCATGGAGTGGGAGGGGTACGGTCCGGAGGAGCGGTGCTGGGTCCCGGTGAGGGATATCCTCGATCCCTCCCTGTTGCGGGATTTCCACCATCGGCATCCAGATCGCCCTGCTCCGCGTCCTCCTAGCCGTCCCCGAGGCCGGTGTCGGTGCGCTGCTGGAGCTGAGCGTCAAGGCGGGGTACTTCCTCCGAAGCTGCCTCCTCTCCTGGTTCGGGCAGGCTTTGGCGTTCATCGTCACCGGCCTTCTAGCCACTGCCGCTCCTCATCTCATCATTCAATTTGTTTTGTCTTGTTTATTACATACACCTGGTTCATATCCCCTCATTAGTACTCGTATAAGTATTCCCTCTGCCCCCTTGTCCTTGTGTGTGATTGGTTATTGTGAAGAGAGTGTAGCTCGGTTGAGCTCCATGTATTTTGTATTGCCGGGGTATTTTTCCCCATGTGCCTTTTTGGTTCCAGTGTGCCTGTTTTGCACACTGGACTGTTTGACGCATTTCTGCGTAACTCTGTATTCCGGAATAAATTCTGTATTCTGTGATTTACCCTCCTGCGCCCAACTCCTTTAAATCACCCATCACACCAGGATGAAGTAAGTAGTATGCAGGTTACAAACATGACCATGATCAAATCTGTAAATTTCATATTACAGTAAAACACGTATTCCACTTTTAATACATTCGGAAAGTAGAGGAAAAATATCGTGCTGTATATTGGGTTCATACAAATCATGTGGTGAGCCATGCAGTTTAATACATTGTTTAGAACCATGTCAAATGTCTCATGTCGCGTTTGGCGGCATTTCTCTCCTTAGAACAAATAAAGCACCAGGCCAAACATTTGCCTCTCTTCCTGAGAGTCAACCCAGTTGGCACCAGGATGCTTGGATGACGAGTTCTGCTTAATAATATGCCATTTAGCAGACGCTTTTATCCAAAGCGACTAACAGTCATGCGTGAATACATTTTTGTGTATGGGTGGTCCCGGGGATCGAACCCACTACCTTGGCGTTACAAGCGCCGTGCTCTACCAGCTGAGCTACAGAGGACCACAGCTTAACACATGTAAATCGTAAAAGTGTCTACATTTGACCCCGCTTGGGGTACTTAAGGGTATAAAAGGGCTCTGCTGACTGCCTCCTGACACTCAGCAGACCATACCGAGTCGGGTGTTGGGGAAGAACAGTGGTTTGTCTTGTGATAGGCTTGCCAGGAGCAAAGTCAATTACAGGATCTTTAATTCTTGGTATGGAATGCCATGGGTTATCCACTCGTGGGCTTAACAAAACAATGTATTCAATAACATACCAAAAAATACAGTCTTTCTATCACACTAATCGTTGCTTATGTAAAATTATATCACCAACATGATGGACCAATAAAACACCCAAATACGGACATTACTGGACATCAGAAGAAAAACACTATGGTACAAAATTATACTATTAATGAGTGTTCTATTACTCTCATCCCAAATCAGGCAAGTGTGGGATGTTCAAAGCCATTGTGATGGGTGAACCTGCACCCAAAGTGACATGGAACCGAGCAAATGGAAACATAGACGATCCAGAGAAGTTCAAGAGCAAGTATGATGAGGCATCTAATGAACACACCCTAGAGGTAAGCATGTGTATCACCATTCATCACCAACTGGTGCTTATACTCAACAATAAATGGGAAATATGAAACTACTGTGTTGATTTCAATGGCATCTATGTCTGCTCCTTTTTACTCCAACCTTTATATAACAACCCCTTAACATTTGGCAAATCCATAAAAATGTATTATCTCTGATAAATTCCTTTATTTTTGTTTTTGTTTTAACCTCATAGCAGTTGATGGGAAACACATAGTAAATCCATGATATATGTGCTCACAGATTCCTAAAGTATGTACAGAGGATGCCGACACCTACAAATGCTTTGCAACAAATGAGTATGGAGAGGCTGTTTGCACTATCCAGCTGAATGTCATTGAAGGTAGGACACACAAAAAGAGAAATCCAACACATTTAATCTAAACCACTCTTCAGCAATATTGATCTGGTCAAACAAATAAGTTCCTCACAATGCATTCTAATGATTTTAAAAGAATGAATACTTCAAGACACTTTTACTTCCAGTTGGATTCAAAAAGAAGAAAGCAATAGCAAAGTCAAAAGAAGAACTAGAGGCATCCAAACCTGTGGCCTTTAGAAAAATGTTAAAGAAACGGTAAGAGAATATACTACATAGTGCTACTCTATTTAGACATATCGATTACCTGTAATTTACAGGTTGCATGAATAGGTCTTGACCAGGCATTTTAGTGGTGAAAATTTACAGTTTCTTAACCCCTACCCCTTTCAAACAGACAACCTGAACTTCTAAAAATAAGTTAAAGCGCTCTGTTTGAAAGGGGTCTGGGTCTGGGAAATACTCCCTAAGTGACCAACGGGAACACTACTTAAAATAATTACAGTACATAACAGTAGACAATGAGTGAATAAAGCACACTAAATATAAAATGTAACTCAGCAATAGCAATTCAAATGAATGCGTGCTTGGTAAATGCTCATCCTGTGTGATCTGCAGTGGAGAAGTCCGTGAGCAAAAGCCACTCGAATCTGATGAGAAAGTTTGGGAGATCCTGATGTGTGCCGACAAGAAAGATTATGAGCACATCTGCGCTGAGTATGGCATCACTAATTTCCGTGGGATGCTGACAAGACTGGCTGAAATGAAAAGAGAGAGAGAGGAGGAGCAGGCACAGGTTTAGTACTATGGAATATATTTTTACAGGTGTGATTTTGGAGGAAATACCAATAAAGTAAAAGGTCATCTGTGTCAGTTACGGGTGTGATTTTTCAAAGATCTTATGGTTCTTTAGTAATTTTACTGTACCTTTATATGTGTCTGTTTCAGTTTATTGAACATATCAGTTCACTCAAACACATCGAGGTCAATGCAGATGAAAATGCAACATTTGAAATTGACATGGATCTTAAGGATCCCAGCAGCAGGATTTTCCTCTACAAGGTATGAAAGCTAATACAAAACTTTTCAACAGCTCTGCTGTTTATTACAGTTTGCTGACAGGTGCCAACTATCAGGTGATTGGCCACAACGGTACATTGGTAAAATAAATGAATCTTTAACCATTTGTTCTTTGCTGAAGGGATGATTCCACACTACAAACGTTGCTTGTTTTAATTATTATTATTTTTTTTTACTCTGCAGGATGGTGTTATGGTTCCTTACACTAAAGAAATGGAAGAAGAAACGAAGCACCAACTGAAACGAGTTGGCAAAAAGTATGTTTTCACAATCAAAAATCTAGACCCGGCGGATGCTGGTCTCTACTCTGTGGATGTAGAGGGAGTTAATGTCTTCTCCACTGATTTCAAAAGTGAGTACCAATGTACATTGCTGTCTAACTAGAGTCTAGAAAAAATTCTACAATAACATGATTTTTACAAAATACCTAATGATCCAATGTGGAATTAGAGTAAAACAAGAGCAAATACATCATAGTATCAATTTGGGGAATTACAGCATTCAAGGAATATAACTGCAGTATTTGTAAAATGGGTGAGTTTATGAGTATTTAAACCAATCCTGACTCTTGAGAACCATGCCAATATTATTGTGTGAACTGAATGGGCTTAGTATATATTATTCCCTACTCTCTATCCATTTTTCAGTCCCACCTGTCAATTTTGCTGTCAAAATTCAGGAGGTGAAGGCAGAAGAAAGACAAGATGCCCTCTTTCAGTGCGTCTTAACGGGACCTATGGATGAGATTCATTGGATGGGCAAGAATGCCCCGATACAAAATAACGACAAATTTGAAATCACAGTGTCTGAAGACAAGCTCATCCACAAGTTGTTAGTGAAGGATTGTCAGCCTTTGGACGCTGGTATCTATGCAGCTGTGGCAGGTATCCATTCTTGTAATGCCTGGCTTGTGGTGGAAGGTGAGGTTATTACATTTTCTCATGGAATGTGTTGAACAATCTTTCAGTGTATCAATTGTATTGATCAACTACAGTATATAAATGTACAGCGAAACACTGACACCCATCACTGGCAACCATTATTTTACAACTATATGAAATATATCTAAAATTCTCTGATTTAGTTGATCAGGACCCTGCAAATAAAGGCAAGAAAATAGCTCGCAAAACAACCCAGGCTGGAGGAGGTGATGTGGATCTGGAGAAAATAGCAAAGGAGCAGGCGGAAAAATACAAGAACGACATGGAAGAGAGGATGGCGGAAGCAAAGATAAAGGCTGCCGAGAGAGGGGCCGCTGACGCAGCCGCCCGGGCCGAGAAAGAGGCTGCTGAAGCAGCCGCCAAGACGGCCAGAAAGGCCGCTAGGGCTGTGGAAGCTAAGGCAGGAAAAAAAGCTGCTAAGTTGAAGGCCAAGGCAAAGAAGGATGCCTCAGGTGATGTGGCTGCAGGTGATGGGGCAGCAGCACGGGCAGAGGGAGATGCTGCAGCTGGAGAGGCAGAAGAAGACATAGTGGTAAGCATGGATGAGTCTGATGAGGAAGAGGAGGCCACAAGAACAAAGCGTGTGAGAAGTGGCCCATTTGTTCCAGACATGGTCATAGGTAAGAAACTATTTCTTCCACTGATAAGATTTAGAAAAAGGTTAAATGGAAGACATTGGGGCCGGTTTCCCGGACACAGATTAAGACTACCAAGCACTTTCAATAGAGATTCTCCATTGAGCATGCTTTTTATTCTGGGAGTGGGCTACAGTATATCTGGTTCTGGAAAACCAAACCGACCCATGGAGTATATCCAATATACTAAGTAAATTATATGCAGTTCACCCAAATGTGATATTTCTATAACTGGAATGACTGTCTCAAGGTCATTAACACCTGATTGTAATTGCAGTCACTGATTGCCCATAGAGGATGGATTTAGGTGAACTATCCTTTAAGCACTACTTTAAAAGTACTTAAATGTACAAGTAACATTTTAAAAGAAGTACAGGACACGCACCCCTGACAAGTCAACTGATATAGAAACCAACTGAGATACTTGGTTTTGTGTGTTCATTACATAATTATGTTTTTTGTTATCGCTTCAGCCTCCCAGCTTTATTTTCTGCCTTTGTATTCCATACTGTTATTGGTAGTGTAATTGTTAATTGTTATTTTCGTAATCATGCTATTGCTATTTATGTTACCACAATTGTCTTTGTTTTTATGCTGCTTATAAAACATTATAAAACATCAGCCAATACAATAGTAAGAAACTTCATCCAGGGACAGTGGGGTCCACAATTATTGACACCCTTGACTGTATAAAATAAATAATTCAAATACTGAGCTATATTGTATGCTCAAAAACATAATTCAATTGCTCAGAGGAAGATGTTTTTTATTCTCAAAAAGGTAGGGGTCAACATTATTGACACCCCTGTTTTTAATACCTTTCAATACCTCACCTTGCGAGGATAACGACACTGAATCTTTTTCTAAAATATCTTAGACCATTCCTCCATACATAATCCTTCCATTTACATTTTAGTCATTTAGAAGATGCTCTTATCCAGAGCGACTTACAGTTAGTGAGTGCATACATTTTTCATACTGGCCCCTTGTGGGAATCAAACCCACAACCCTGGCGTTGCAAACGTCATGCTCTACCAACTGAGCTACACAGGACTTCCAGAACCTTAATATTCTTCTTCTGCGTTTAAGGACTGCCCAGGGTTTCAATGGGTTTCAAGTCCAGAGACTACAATGTTGATTTTGTGGCCAATTAACAATTTCTGTGTTGATTTTGATGTGTGCTTGGGGTTATTGTTTTGCCAGAAGATCCACTTGCAGTCAAGTTTCAGCCTCCTGGCAGAGGCAACCAGGTTTTTGCCTAAAATGTCCTGGTACTGGGTAAAGTTCATGATGCCGTTGACCATAACAAGAGCCACAGGAACAGTGGAAGCTAAATAGCCCCAGAACATCAAAGATTCACCACCATATTTTACAGTAGGTCTGGGGTTCTTTTCTGCTCATGCATTCTCATTTAGAAAACAAACCCACCACTGGTATGCGTGGTCAGAGGGCTATATTTTTGTGTCATCCAACAAATGTAAACGCCTGGAGTTTGCTAAATTGCATTGGCACTTGGATTGGAACTGGCGCTTTGGTCAGATGACATGAAAATAGGGCTCTTGTTTAATGGTTAATTGGCCAGAAAAATCTACATTTTGCAATGGCCATTTCAGTGTCCGGACTTGAAACCCATCGAAACCTGTGGTTTGAATTGAAGATGGCATAAAATAAGCCCAGACAAAGGATAGCAAGGATCTGGAATGATTCTGTATGGAGCGATGGTCTAAGATATCTCTCCCAATGTGTTCTCCAATCTCATAAAACATTTTAGAAAAAGGCTCAGTGCTGTTAACCTCACAAGGTGAGGTACAGAAAGGTATCGAAAACAGGAGTGTCAATATTTTTGACCCCTACCTTTTTGATAGGAATAAATATTACTTGTTAAACCAAATCTTTCTTTGAGCATTTGTATTAGTTCAAAATAATATCATTTCCCCAAAAAATTTGAGCATACAATATATCTCAGTATTAAAAATGTTGCTTAAGGGGTCAATAACCTCCCGAGTGGTGCAGTGCTCTAAGGCACTGCATCGCAGTGCTGGCTGTGCCACTAGAGATCCTGGTTTGAAACTGTAAGCTAACTGTAAGTTGCTCTGGATAAGAGCGTCTGCTAAATGATGTAAATGTAATAACTTCAGACACCGCTATATGATTGTCAAAGGAGATGCAAAATCTCTCTATTTGATTAGCTTGCAAATTTTTGGCATACTGCAGTTTAAATTATTATTAATCAACATCACTTTAGAAAAATCATCACTAGCCAAACAACAAATACGTTTGCCTTTAAACCAAATACAAAAATTCACAAGGTCAATTCATACAATTGATATTGTTTGACATTAAATTGATATTGATAATCACCAATAGATGATGATGAGGAGGCTCCAAATGAGCAACCAGAGAAACGTCGTAAACGTACAAGGCAAGGACCACTGCTCAAGGAAGAGAATGTTGGTAAGAGATTGTGAAGGTTGCATTTGATGAACATGCATGGAAACAGGTTGGTTCAATATCAAAGTAATTTGTTGGAAATTACTTTGGCACCATGGGCCTGATAAATATAGGGAATCTTTGTTTACTCAAAGAAATCCTGGACTTAATACTTACACTGATATTCAGGAGTATTATTAACCATCACATGTATGATGTGTTTGTTATTGAAGTTGATATACAGTATATACATTATATCATGGGAGATAAAAATAACCAAACCCTGCCATTGTATGCCATTCAAAAGAGGTCACATACTGTACGATTTCATATGTAGTCAGAAATCGAGTAATTTAACAAAACTGTGGCACTGTAGTTAAACACAACATCTGCAACATTATAATGTACAGTGGGGGAAAAAAAGTATTTAGTCAGCCACCAATTGTGCAAGTTCTCCCACTTAAAAAGATGAGAGAGGCCTGTAATTTTCATCATAGGTACACGTCAACTATGACAGACAAAATGAGAAAAGAAAATCCAGAAAATCATATTGTAGGATTTTTAATGAATTTATTTGCAAATTATGGTGGAAAATAAGTATTTGGTCAATAACAAAAGTTTCTCAATACTTTGTTATATACCCTTTGTTGGCAATGACACAGGTCAAACGTTTTCTGTAAGTCTTCACAAGGTTTTCACACACTGTTGCTGGTATTTTGGCCCATTCCTCCATGCAGATCTCCTCTAGAGCAGTGATGTTTTGGGGCTGTCGCTGGGCAACACGGACTTTCAACTCCCTCCAAAGATTTTCTATGGGGTTGAGATCTGGAGACTGGCTAGGCCACTCCAGGACCTTGAAATGCTTCTTACGAAGCCACTCCTTCGTTGCCCGGGCGGTGTGTTTGGGATCATTGTCATGCTGAAAGACCCAGCCACGTTTCATCTTCAATGCCCTTGCTGATGGAAGGAGGTTTTCACTCAAAATCTCACGATTCATTCTTTCCTTTACACGGATCAGTCGTCCTGGTCCATTTGCAGAAAAACAGTCCGAAAGCATGATGTTTCCACCCCCATGCTTCACAGTAGGTATGGTGTTCTTTGGATGCAACTCAGCATTCTTTGTCCTCCAAACACGACGAGTTGAGTTTTTACCAAAAAGTTATATTTTGGTTTCATCTGACCATATGACATTCTCCCAATCCTCTTCTGGATCATCCAAATGCACTCTAGCAAACTTCAGACGGGCCTGGACATGTACTGACTTAAGCAGGGGGACACATCTTGCACTGCAGGATTTGAGTCCCTGGCGGCGTAGTGTGTTACTGATGGTAGGCTTTGTTACTTTGGTCCCAGCTCTCTGCAGGTCATTCACTAGGTCCCCCCGTGTGGTTCTGGGATTTTTGCTCACCTTTCTTGTGATCAATTTGACCCCACGGGGTGAGATCTTGCGTGGAGCCCCAGATCGAGGGAGATTATCAGTGGTCTTGTATGTCTTCCATTTCCTAATAAATGCTCCCACAGTTGATTTCTTCAAACCAAGCTGCTTACCTATTACAGATTCAGTCTTCCCAGCCTGGTGCAGGTCTACAATTTTGTTTCTGGTGTCCTTTGACAGCTCTTTGGTCTTGGCTATAGTGGAGTTTGGAGTGTGACTGTTTGAGGTTGTGGACAGGTGTATTTTATACTGATAACAAGTTCAAACAGGTGCCATTAATACAGGTAACGAGTGGAGGACAGAGGAACCTCTTAAAGAAGAAGTTACAGGTCTGTGCGAGCCAGAAATCATGCTTGTTTGTAGGTGACCAAATACTTATTTTCCACCAAAAGTTGCAAATAAATTCATAAAAAATCCTACAATGTGATTTTCTGGATTTTTTTCCTCAATTTGTCTGTCATAGTCGACGTGTACCTATGATGAAAATTACAGGCCTCTCTCATCTTTTTAAGTGGGAGAACTTGCACAATTGGTGGCTGACTAATACTTTTTTCCCCCCACTGTACTAATAATAGTCATAATGTGAAATACATATTTTATAAATCCATATACAGTATCAGTCCAAAGTTTGGACACATCTACTCATTCCAGGGTATTTCTTAATTTTTTACTAAATAGTAAAAATAAAGAAAAACCCTAGAATGAGTAGGTGTGTCCAAATGTTTGACTGGTACTGTACCTATTTGCTTACTTTAGAGTGGACTATTCTATACAATATAGCGATAAACTTGATAAAGCCGTTTTTAAAATGCATACACATTGCAGGTCACCACCATGTCCAACTAATAAACAATACTTTACCTAGCAGAAGCACCCTGCACTTTGTGTCAGTCATATTTTTCAGGAAAGATTGAATTCCGAACTAAGTTGAGATCAAGCAGTAGCTACCTTACTCTGAAAGACCTTAGCTGGTGGTGTTATAGTTGTTCTTTTGAGTATTAACATCTTTCCACAAAATGTAACATCCACAGTTTAGCATATCTCTTTATATAAAATTCAACATGTACATAGCAAGTACAGTTGAAGTCGGAAGTTTACATACACTTAGGTTGGAGTCATTAAAACTTGTTTTTCATCCACTCCAAAAATGTCTTGTTAAGAAACTATAGTTTTGGCAAGACACAAGTAATTTTTCCAACAATTGTTTACAGACAGATTATAATTGACTGTATCACAATTCCAGTGGGTCAGAAGTTTACATACACTAAATTGACTGTGCCTTTAAACAGCTTGGACAATTCCAGAAAATGATGTCATGGCTTTAGAAGCTTCTGATAGGCTAATTGCCATCATTTGAGTCAATTGGAGGTGTACCTGTGGATGAATTTAAAGGCCTACCTTCAAACTCAGTGCCTCTTTGCTTGACATCATGGGAAAATCAAAAGAAATCAGCCAGGACCAAGCAATATCCAAACCATGTTCATCTGTACAAACAATAGTATGCAAGTATAAACACCATGGGACCACGCAGCCGTCATACAGCTCAGGAAGGAGATGCGTTCTGTCTCCTAGAAATGAACGTACTTTGGTGCGAAAAGGGCAAATCAATCCCAGAACAACAGCAAAGGACCTTGTGAAGATGCTGGAGGAAACAGGTACAAAAATATATATATCCACAGTAAAACGAGTCCTAAATCGACATAACCTGAAAGGCCGCTCAGCAAGGAAGAAGCCACTGCTCCAAAACCGCCATAAAAAAGCCAGAATACGGTTTGCAACTGCACATGGGGAAAAAGATTGTACTTTTTGAGAAATGTCCTCTGGTCTGATGAAACAAAAATAGAACTGTTTGGCCATAATGACCATCATTATGTTTGGAGGAAAAAGGGGGACTTGCAAGCCAAAGAACCCCATCCCAGCCATGAAGCACGGGGGTGGCAGCATCATGCTGTGGGGGTGCTTTGCTGCAGGAGGGACTGGTGTACTTCACAAAATAGATGCCATCATGAGGAAGGAAAATGATGTGGATATATTGAAGCAACATCTCAAGACATCAGTCAGGAAGTTAAAGCTGGTTCGCAAATGGGTCTTCCAAATGACAATGAACCCAAGCATACTTCCAAAGTTGTGGCAAAATGGCTTAAGGACAACAAAGTCCAGGTATTGGAGTGGCCATCACAAAGCCCTGACCTCAATCCTATCGAAAATGTGTGGGCAGAACTGAAAAAGCGTGTGCGAGCAAGGAGGCCTACAAACCTGACTCAGTTACACCAGCTCTGTCAGGAGGAATGGGCCAAAATTCACCCAACTTATTGTGGGAAGCTTGTGGAAGGCTGCCCAAAACATTTGACCCAAGTTAAACAATTTAAAGGCAATGCTACCGAATACTAATTGAGCATAAGTAAACTTTATTTTAAGAATGTGAAATGACAGGATAATAGTAAAGAGAATGATTTATTTCAGCTTTTATTTCTTTCATCACATTCCCAGTAGGTCAGAAGTTTACATACGCTCAATTAGGAATATGATGAAAGAAATAAAAGCTGAAATAAATCATTATCTTTACTATTATCCTGTCATTTCACATTCTTAAAATAAAGTGGTTATCCTAACTGACCTAAGACAGGGCATTTCTACTAGGATTAAATGTCAGGAATTGTGAAAAACTGAGTTTAAATGTATTTGGCTAAGGTGTATGTAAACTTCCGACTTCAACTGTACATCTTTACAATTCACTCTTGACATACAAATATAACCTAATATTTGTGTTGTATATGCAACATGTGTGTGTGCTTCCCTGTTTAATCTGTCTGTTATTTGTGCCTTGTGTTGACCCATTTGTGAATTTTTGCTTTTGAAAGGGTTTCTCTCTTCGTTACAGAGATTGGTGAAGGAGTTAGCCAGGTTACTTATTCAAGTACAACGGAAACAAGCTTTTACGTAAAAGGATATTGTCTTTATACACTGATTATACTAAACATTAGGAACATCTTGCTAATATTGAGTTGGACCCCCCACCCCCAGGGATGCTGGCCCATGTTGACTCCAATGCTTCCCACAGTTGTGTCAAGGTGGCTGGATGTCTTCAGGGTGGTGGACCATTCTTGATACACACAGGAAACTGTTGAGCTTGAAAAACCCAGCAGCGTTGCAGTTCTTGACACAAACCGGTACGCCTGTAACCTACCCTGTTCAAAGGCACTTCAATATTTTGTCTTGCCCATTCACCCTATGAATGGCACACATACACAATCTATTTCTCAATTGTCTCAAGGCTTAAAAATCCTTATTTAGCCTGTCTCCTCCCCTTCATCTACACTGATTGAAGTGGATTTAACACGTTTTATCAATAAGGGATCATAGCTTTCACCTGGATTCACCTGGTCAGTCTATGTCATGGAAAGAGCAGGTGTTCTTAATGTTTTGTACACTCAGTGTATTTCCTCAAAACCATTTTCTTTTGAAATACCAATAAAATCCAGCTATTAATTAGAGTAGTTATGAATAATAAGGCTAGTCAGTTTCTTGAACACCTTCATTTCACATAAAACATTATTTTGATAAGTAAACTGAAACTAGTCCTTCACCACCCATTCCGTGCTTTAGTTGTTGTTGATGTGATATTGTTATTGTTATTGCTACTATTGTTCCTTTTGTTATTGTGGATGTTGTTGTAATTGCTGTTGTTACTGTTACCATTGCTGTTCTCTACAAGGCCTTACCTATCAATAATCGACAAATTAACAATGATGGTGATTACGATAATCATCAATAGGAAAAACAAATAGTGATGGCCCAGCCACAGATGCAAAAGCCAAAAACAGAAAGGCAAAGAGCGGAGGTGGCGCCAGGCCAGCAGGCAGTGGTGTGTCTGCTGATATTGGTGAGGCTGCAAGTGCCGATGAGGCTTCAAGTGCAGATGAGACCGACGAGCCAGCAGAAGCTGCTAAGCGTGGAAGCGCACAGGCCGCACAAGGCCAGGCGTTATACTTCAGGAGACGGTCGTTGGTAAGATTATGGTTACTGCATTGACTTCTGCATGGGATTCACTGTTCTGGTGGTTTGAGGGTGTGTTCACAGAACACGTTTGATCATTCAGAAGAATGGTGGGTTTTAATCTCTACTTATTAGTTCACTGACCTTTTGGGATTATGGTAGTCGTGAATAAGGGTGGCTTTAACAATGCTTAACCATCCATATTTCACATTGCCATTGACCATACGGTATTTTCAAATTTGGATAATTGATAGATTTGAACTTTATTATACCATGTAGTTTACAAGTAATTTCTATCAGGGCATACAGTGCCTTGCAAAAGTATTCATCCCCCTTGGTGTTTTTCCTATTCTTTTGCATTACAACCTGTAATTTAAATTGATTTTTGTTTGCATTGCATGTAATGGACATACACAAAATAGTCCAAATTGGTGAAGTGGTGTGTGCATATGTATTCACCCCCTATGCTATGAAGTCCCTAAATAAGATCTGGTGCAACCAATTACATTCAGAAGTCACATAATTAGTTGAATAAAGTCCACCTGTGTGCAATCTAAGTGTCACATGATCTGTCACATGATCTCAGAATATATACCACTGTTCTGAAAGGCCGCAGTCTGCAACACCTCTAAGCAAGCGGCACCACCAAGCAAGTGGCACCATGAAGACCAAGGTGCTCTCTAAACAAGTCAGGGACAAGGTTGTGGAGAAGTACAGATCAGGTTTGAGTTATAAAAAATATCCGAAACATTGAACATCCCACGGAGCACCATTAAATCCATTATTAAAAAATTTAAAGAATATGGCACCACAACAAACCTACCAAGAGAGGGCCGCCCACCAAAACTCACAGACCAGGCCAGGAGGGCAATAATCAGAGGCAAAAAAGAGACCAAAGATAACCCTGAAGGAGCTGCAAAGCTTCACAGTGGAGATTGGAGTATATGTCCATAGGACCACTTTAAACCGTACACTCCACATAGCTGGGCTTTACGGAAGAGTGGCCAGAAAAAAGCAATTGCTTAAAGAAAAAAATAAGCAAACAAGTTTGGTGTTCGCCAAAAGGCATGTGGGAGACTCCCCAAACATATGGAAGAAGGTACTCTGGTCAGATGAGACAAAAATTTAGATTTTTGGTCATCAAGGAAAACGCTATGTCTGGAGGAAACCCAACACCTCTCATCACCACGATAACACCATCTCCACAGTGAAACATGGTGGTGGCAGCATCATGCTGTGGGGATGTTTTTCATCGGCAGGAACTGGGAAAATGGTCAGAATTGAAGGAATGATGGATGCTGCTAAATACAGGGAAATTCTTGAGGGAAACCTGTTTATGTCTTCCAGAGATTTGAGACTGGGATGGAGGTTCACCTTCCAGCAGGACAATGACCCTAAGCATACTGCTAAAGCAACACTTGAGTGGTTTACATTTAAATGTCTTGGAATTGCCTAGTCAAAGCCCAGACCTCAATCCAATTGAGAATCTGTGGTATGACTTAAAGATTGCTGTACACCAGTGGAATCCATCCAACTTGAAGGAGCTGGAGCAGTTTTGCCTTGAAGAATAGGCAAAAATCCCTATGGCTAGATGTGCCAAGCTTATAGAGACATACCCCAAGAGACTTGCAGCTGTAATTGCTGCGAAAGGTGGCTCTACAAAGTATTGACTTTGGTGGGGTGAATAGTTATGCACGCTCAGGTTTTCTGTTTTTCTTTCTTATTTCTTGTTTGTTTCACAATGAAAAATACACTGCTCAAAAAAATAAAGGGAACACTTAAACAACACAATGTAACTCCAAGTTAATCACACTTCTGTGAAATCAAACTGTCCACTTAGGAAGCAACACTGATTGACAATACATGCTGTTGTGCAAATGGAATAGACAACAGGTGGAAATTATAGGCAATTAGCAAGACACCCCCAATAAAGGACTGGTTTTGCAGGTGGTGACCACAGACCACTTCTCAGTTCCTATGCTTCCTGGCTGATGTTTTGGTCACTTTTGAATGCTGGCGGTGCTTTCACTCTAGTGGTAGCATGAGACGGAGTCTACAACCCACACAAGTGGCTCAGGTAGTGCAGCTCATCCAGGATGGCACATCAATGCGAGATGTGGCAAGAAGGTTTGCTGTGTCTGTCAGCGTAGTGTCCAGAGCATGGAGGCGCTACCAGGAGACAGGCCAGTACATCATGAGACGTGGAGGAGGCCGTAGGAGGGCAACAACCCAGTAGCAGGACTGCTACCTCCACCTTTGTGCAAGGAGGAGCAGGAGGAGCACTGCCAGAGCCCTGCAAAATGACCTCCAGCAGGCCACAAATGTGCATGTGTCTGCTCAAACGGTCAGAAACAGAATCCATGAGGGTGGTATGAGGGCCCGACGTCCACAGGTGGGGGTTTTGCTTACAGCCCAACACCGTGCAGGACATTTGGCATTTGCCAGAGAACACCAAGATTGGTAAATTCGCCACTGGCGCCCTGTGCTCTTCACAGATGAAAGCAGGTTCACACTGAGCACATGTGACAGACGTGACAGAGTCTGGAGACGCCGTGGAGAACGTTCTGCTGCCTGCAACATCCTCCAGCATGACCGGTTTGGCGGTGGGTCAGTCATGGTGTGGGGTGGCATTTCTTTGGGGGGCCGCACAGCCCTCCATGTGCTCGCCAGAGGTAGCCTGACTGCCATTAGGTACCGAGATGAGATCCTCAGACCCCTTGTGAGACCATATGCTGGTGCGGTTGGCCCTGGGTTCCTCCTAATGCAAGACAATGCTAGACTTCATGTGGCTGGAGTGTGTCAGCAGTTCCTGCAAGAGGAAGGCATTGATGCTATGGACTGGCCCGCCCGTTCCCCAGACCTGAATCCAATTGAGCACATCTGGGACATCATGTCTCACTCCATCCACCAACGCCACGTTGCACCACAGACTGTCCAGGAGTTGGCGGATGAATTAGTCCAGGTCTGGGAGGAGATCCCTCAGGAGACCATCCGCCACCTCATCAGGAGCATGCCCAGGCGTTGTAGGGAGGTCATACAGGCACGTGGAGGCAACACACACACTACTGAGCCTCATTTTGACTTGTTTTAAGGACATTACATCAAAGTTGGATCAGCCTGTAGTGTGGTTTTACACTTTAATTTTGAGGGTGACTCCAAATCCAGACCTCCATGGGTTGATCAATTTGATTTCCATTGATAATTTTTGTGTGATTTTGTTGTCAGCACATTCAACTATGTAAAGAAAATAGAATTTAATAAGATTATTTCATTCATTCAGATCTAGGATGTGTTATTTTAGTGTTCCCTTTATTTTTTTGAGCAGTGTATGTTGCATCTTCAAAGTGGTAGGCATGTTGTGTAAATCAAATAAAAAAAAACTCAAAATAATCCATTTTAATTCCAGGTTGTAAGGCAACAAAATTGGAAAAATGCCAAGGGGGGTGAATACTTTCGCAAGCCACTGTATCAGGGATGGATGACAAAATGTTTATCCATGTCGCTGCCTTAGTGTTTGCACATTGTGTGTTTTGAGTGTGCTACAATGTTTAAAAAGCATCCGTGTTTGTAGATTGTTTGTCTTAAACATGATTGCCTGTGTTACCTAGTACTGAAAGCAAAGTCTTGCAAAGTCTCCAAAACGTGGCCTCATTAGTAAAACATAATCACGTCAGGACAACACAGAAGATTTCAACCATATTTCAGAAAATAAAGAAACATGAAATCTCACCAACTCATGAAAATATAAGAAGATTGAAGTGTGAAAATATGAGAAGAAGGAATATGATGGTTTGGAAGTTGATGTGAATATATAAGAAGAGCTCTTGCTTTTGAAAGAGAAATTAAGATATATGGACTTCTTGCTTTGGAAGCCGACAGGAAGATAAAACATCATTTGTTTACAAAGTCACATAAGAAAAACCTGTACCTCGTATATCTTACAAACAACCATTGGCGATGTCAAGAATGAATGGCTAAACAAGAAATCACACAGTACACAGAATATATTAATATATATTGTCAATGAGCACCCTGACCAAAGAACTATTGGAACAAACAAGAATGAGGGTGAAGTGTGAAAAATATTACCATGAACCCATACCAAGGCTAACAGAAAGAGAATTTTAAAAAACAACAACACATCAACGAATTCCTGAAAAAACACCATGGAAAAACTCAATCTTCAATAACTAGCCAAAACAATCAAAATAGAAAAAGTGATATTTTGCGATCTTCATCAACACTGAAGTTCTACGCCATCTTTAAAAAAAAAAATCCATCACGCCTTTTAACGAATTTAGATTCAAACATGTCAGTTTACATTTGAACATGTATTTTATAGATTAACTGCAAAATAAAATGCATGGTATAACATTTTTAAAATTCAACAGTAATGTTTGACAGGATTCTGAGGACTCTGAGCTTAGGTAAGTCAGTACACTAAGATGACATGCATGCATGAACTGTATGACAAAGAAAGGTTGCGATGAATGTTAATCATAATTCTATATTTTACTTAATTTGAATTCCAACACTCACCCTAACAGGTAATTATATAAGGGTGAGCTGCAAATGAAGCACAGTCACTAACTGTAAATCTGCTAAATCCTTCCAGACCCTGGCGTTCACTTCAATCTTGGGCTTTCTGACTTCACCGCCATTGTGGGAGACCCAGCTGAAATTGTCTGTAAGATGAGCAAGGAAAATGTTGATGGGGTATGGTACAAGGATGGAGAGGAGGTGAGCATCTACATTGCAATATAATTTTGCCAATCACCACTTCCATACATATTATTTGTAACAGTAAAGTCCTGAAGGCCATAGAAAAACAACAATAGGCTATTATTATTATATTATTAGTTCAGTGTTTATAAGGTGTTTTGAGCTAATATTTAGTTGTTTTATTGGCCACTGCAGATGCAGAATGCACTTGAGAGATATATCAGCTTAAATATTATTGTGCTTTCTTGTTTAGATTGAACCCGATGATGTTCTTACCATGTCTAAAGATGGATGCTTCCAATATCTCAAAATCAGCAAAATCTCAGAGGACTATGCTGGAAAATACAAATTTGAAGCAGATGGCCGTAAAACAGAGGCCATGATTGTTGTTAAAGGTCTAAATCTATTTAACTTTTTTATCTTGCATCTAATCTCAGCACCACATTAATTATATTTTATAACATTTTTAAATTCACTCGTATTATTGTATCTTTTTTTATATAGATCCACCTAGATTCGACCCAGAGGGATTGAAAGAGTTTATGGTTCCGATCATTATTAAAAAAGGTCAAAAAGCCACTTTCAAGATATCATTTGTGGGTCGGGATCCAATGAAGATCCAATGGTATCATGAGGGCGAGGAGCTCTCAGACAACACAAACATCAAGATAGAGCATGCAGAGGGTCAGAGTCGCCTGCTTCTCAACAAGTTACAGCGCAAAGACACTGGGGAAATCAAGATCAAACTCAAAAATGATTTTGGAACTTCTGAGGCCTTTGCGAAGGTCATTATATATGGTATGTTTGTTCTCTCTGGGTCCAATCAAGAGCTTATCTTTGATTTGGTGTGAAATCTTAAAGTCACTTGGGTCAAAATGTTATTTCTCAAGCTTTGTATTTAGCATACAGTGCAATATATTTTCATAACTCTGCAGCAATATGTGATATAATGAAATGTAATAATAAATAAATAAAACAGTGATTCATTAACTTCAGGAATAAATTGTACCATGCTTAGAGCAATCCAACAGAGAGTAAAATAAGCATCTGTTTCTTGACAGACAAGCCCACCCCTCCAATGGGACCTCTGGAGATTATTGAAGCCTCTCAAAATGCCATTGATATCAAGTGGAGGCCCCCGAAGGATGATGGTGGCTGTAAGATAGTAAACTACATCCTGGAACGTCAACAGATAGGCCGCAACACGTGGAAGAAACTGGGTCCGATCGGTCCAGAGGCCCGCTACAAAGACACTGATGTGGACCATGGCAGGAAGTACTGTTACAAAATCATGGCCGACACTGAGATGGGCACCAGTGAGTTGATGGAGACAGAGGATGTCCAGGCAGGCACAAAAGGTGAGTGCATAAATCAGTGAGGTCAATTTAGCGTGATTCGGAAGACTATTGGTTATTTTGGAAATCTCAATGTGCATTGTCCAGTATTCCTATACAACAGCTTCAAATGCTTAAATAAAGTTTACAAAAATTAGTATAGTAACACATAACCAGAAGACAGTTGTCACAAATCATATTTCTGTACTTAGCATACCCTGGACCCCCTTCTGCACCTAAAGTGGTTAGCGCCTTCAAGGACTGCATCACTCTGACATGGATTCCCCCTTCTAACACTGGAGGAACCAACATTCTGGGATACAACATGGAGAAACGCAAGAAGGGAAGCAATCTATGGAGCCCTGTCCATCCTGCAGATGATAGGATAAAAGGTTTCACCATTACCACTTCTGTATTAATTTGAACCATGTTTATTCCATAGATGAAGTATAGCAGTTTAACCCATAACTTACGCTATTGTTTTGTATGTTTGCTCGTACCACAGAGAACGAGTTTGGTGTGAAAGACGTAATAGAGGGTATGGAATACGAGTTCCGTGTGGCAGCTATCAACAACTCTGGAGCTGGTGAATTTGGCGCTCTGTCTGAGTTTGTGTTTGCCAGGGACCCCAAAAGTAGGTCATATTCAATGGTACTTTGAGTACATAGATATTCTTTCAAATTAATCCATAGGTTTAAGAGACCTATTAATATCTCACTTATGTGTATCATTTCAGAGCCCCCCGGTAAAGTCCTTGACCTGAAGGTGACAGACTCTACCTACACCACCTTGTCCCTGGGTTGGACTAAACCAAGGGAGGAAGAGGGGGTTGAGGATGAAGCCAAGGGATACTTTGTGGAGATCAGACCAGCAGAAAGCCCAGAGTGGGATCGCTGTAACACTAACCCCATCATCATGACCTCCTTCACAGTGAAAGGCATGAAGTCAATGGCCATGTATTGGGTGAGAGTGGTCGCTACCAATGACGGTGGAGAAGGCAAGCCCCAAGAGCTGGACAACTACATCCTGGCTATGCCTCCTCCTGGTAAGACCATTCATTTCAAACATCCCTGTTGGCATCAAAATATTGAGAGGATCTTGTTTGAATGCTAGCATTTCCCTCCTAACTTTGACTGTATAAAACATGTTGTTCTTATGCTTTTGCATCATCCAGTCAGGCCAAAATTCACTGATCAAAAAATCAAGAGTTTCATGGTGGTGCAAGCAGGGAATTCTGCACGATTCAACATTAACTTTGAGGTACAGTGTAAAAATGTAGTTGGATTTCTAAATATCCACTTCCATACAAGTGGAAAGAACCCAAATGGATAGCATTGTCATGTAGATATAGTGATAATTTTCTGATATTCTTTACAGGCCTCTCCGTGGCCAGATGTCACTTGGCTGAAGGATGGCGTACCTGTTTCCAAACGGGTTACCATCAGCAACACTGAAGGGGCATCCCAACTTTTGATTCCTTCTTCAGAGCACTCAGATACAGGAATCTACACCATTCTCATCAAGAATATTGTTGGCCAAGAGACATTCAGCATTGAGATCAGAGTCACAGGTGAGATGCTCATAAAATGGCTGACCGTGGTTCTGTAAGTTAAAAGCAGTTGAGGTCCAGTGTTGATCATTAATCACACAATTATTTGTGGTCCGATCTAGATGAGCCCAAGCCTCCAGGTCCTGTGGAGGTAGATGAGAACGTACAGGGCACAGTGACTGTGTCCTGGACGCCATCTCCTGATGAGAAGAGGGACAACAGGCTGCACTACCTGGTGTCTAAGCGCGACTCAAGCAAGAGAACGTGGCACACAGTGGCAGACCGCATATTTAACAACAAGTTCACAGCCTGTAACATCTTGCCTGGCAGAGAGTACCAGTTCCGTGTCTATGCTAAGAATGACATGGGCTCTTCTAAACCCTCTGAATCACTAAAATGGGAAATCAAAGGCAAAAGAGGTTTGTAAAAGCGGTTTGGGTCACTCTTCATTGTGAATTCTGGGCCAGTCCTTGCAGTGTCCATGTGCTTTGAAAGGCATGTGAGTGGTGTAAATGCATACGATACTATAAGGCTAGCAATTTAGAGGGCCACTTGTTGGTAATTCCAATAACTGAGAGCAAACAATGTAACTAACAAAACTATAATTTTGAATTTTTTAAATAGTCCAACAGGCTCTGCATTTCAGGAATCACAGTAGCAAGTACTCCTTTGTGCACTGTTAAATTATTTAGCTATTTAAACATTGTTTTTTGGGCTCTGTGTGTGGAACCTCAGTTGTATTTTGTTATTTTTCATCCCATACAAATATCGAAGTACAGAGCAGAGTAGACAAAGACATTACATTTGCACAGCATGCTAATGAAAATCCACCTTCTGGATTACATTACTTTGGCTGTCTCCTTAACAATCCAAAAGCAAGAAAGAGTTGTTAACAGAATTCCTAAAATAAGTGCATTTGAACTCTTAAAACAGTAAAACCGTTCAGCTAGAGAAAGAAGAGTAATTGATTTGTCTCTTATCAGGTCTCTTAGCAATAATGAAAAAGTGAAGTGTAGCTCATGTGAAACATGTTTAATTCCTTGACTAACCTAGTAGAAATAAGCAATCACAACACAATTCAGAATTTGATGGGGCCAGAGTAAAGAAGAGGTGAACAGGTCAGTATCAACATGGTGAGCAGTGAGAGAAGGTTCCTGCTTAGTAAATTGCAACCCCTGGGTTGAGCCTTTATCAATGTAACATAGCCAGGAGAATGGGCCATATCTCGTAGCTTCTAACAATAATTTACAAATATTGAATACGTAAGGGATAATCAACGAGGGGCTATGTGTTCTCTGGAAAATAATGTATGACGTGGAAGGTGTGTTCCACAAAAAGTTAGCGGAGTGGCACTCATTTTTACATTTACATTTTAGTCATTTAGCAGACACTCTTATCCATTATTTTTCATACTGGCCCCCCCGTGGGAATCGAACCCACAACCATGGTGTTGCAAACGCCATGCTCTACCAACTGAGCTACATCCCTCTCACCTACCAAGGAGTTGCATTATTTTCCAGAGAATGCATAGAGTCCTGAGTTGATTATCCCTTTTATACCATGGCTATAATTTAACATATTTGCTGCTAGAAATTTATTAATTTGCCAGTAGAAATGTGACAACAACATCCATTGAAGTAGCTAGCAAGTTAACTAGCTAGCTAGATAGCTACAGTAGTTGCCTTGGTAACCAAACAAACAGACTTGCTAGCTTAGCTAACCAAACCATCATCCTAGCTTGATATTATGAATATCAAACTCAACAATGCCAATAATGTTTTCAATTCAACTTTTGCTTTCAAAAGCAGCTCAAAAATAGAACATGTAAGAATAAACTTCATAGCCATTGAATTATACCGTGCAATTATACCATGCATTATAGGGAAATAATGCATGCTCTAGAATGCCCTTCAAGCCAATCAGAAATGAGTATTCAACAATGCCATGGTATTAATATTTATATTAATTTCACATAAGCAATAACATTAATTTAGCATAAACTCAAGCTCCAATGCATTCTGTCAAAGTGGACAAACCCAATACATATATTGGCTCATGTCCTGATCTTTCTGAGAATGACCTTTTGCTCCTATTGATTTAAAATTGAGGTTTGTAAAAGCTGTTTGGGTCACTCTTCATTGTGAATTCTGGGCCAGTCCTTGCAGTGTCCATGTGCTTTGAAAGGCATGAGAGTGGTGTAAATGCATACGATATTATAAGGCTAGCAATTTAGGGGGCCACTTGTTGGTAATTCCAATAACTGAGAGCTTGGGCACAAACTGGTCCAAAGTCTCTCCCGACTAGTCATTAGGACGTTAGGTTAAGTTAAGTGGCAGTTCACAGTTTGCTGCTCCCAAAAGTGATCTTTAATAACACTTTTAACATTATGCCATTATTGTATCTTGCTTAAAGCTTTATCAAATATACTTTTTTTGGACCAGCAAACAGTGAGCAGACATTTACACTTTCTACTGCTATAATTTCTTTCCAGCCACTCTGACAAATTTGGATGTGTGAAATATCTCATCTTTAACAAGGTACACGTTGCCTCTGTGTTTGTGTTTTCAGAAAAGTTTGTGCTGCAAATGCCAGAGTCTAAGACCTGCAACCTAGAACACCCTCCTAAGTTTCTTGTCCCTTTGAAAATGCACACCACTCCACAAGGTTATGAGTGCTACATGAGCTGTGCCGTGAGAGGGGACCCAACACCCCATGTCACATGGTTCCGCAATAATATCAGCCTCAACACCAACACCAACTACCTCATCGCCAACACTTGTGGTGTTTGCTCAATGCTCATACTGAGGGTTGGAGCCAAGGACTCTGGAGAGTACACAATCATTGCAGAGAACCCCCTTGGCAGGGCAGAGTGCTCCACTAAGCTCACTGTCAATGGTATATAAAAATAAAATGTTTTGCTGTACTATATTGAAATGTAAATCTGAGAGATAAAACTAATTACTTCTAGTGTTTTAATCATCAATTTGAAATGGAAACGGATACATTTAACACAGTGTGAATTACTAATAATCCCTTTTTGTGTTCTTGTTTTTCAGATTAGGTCAGCATTAAAAAGAAGATGACCTTGCCTTTACTTTTTTTAAATAGCTTAACACAAGTCCAGTTTCCTGTTTAGTTTTCTAGTTCTGTGCAGAAATGACATTTGGTATATTTTCAAGTTAAGTGTTCCCTGTATCACATTTAATTTGATAATATTCTCCATTTTGGGTGCTGCATATGTTTGCAAACTCAGGTTGAGTACCATACAATGCATCACTCTTTGGATTAAGGAGAGACAATTATGTAATGTAACACCATAGTCTTCAATAATCAAAAGCAGCCTGAAAGCATGTCAAGAACAGTGTTGTGTTTGTGTTTTTTCCCATCAAAGTGCAATATTGGTATAGGAAAGCTTTATGATTGGCAATTTAAATTATGCATGTGCAAGACGGTTCTTGTTTACAGTGGCTTTTGAGTACATTTGAACTAGAACAAAAACTGTATAAACAAGCAGAGTGAGTGATCACAATTTAATCATTTGCATGGTTTACTGGCATAAACATTCATGTGAGAACTGCAAATGTGTGGCTGTGGTTCATTAACTTCAAAGGTACTTAGTATATTGTATATTTAAATATCCTGCTCAAAGAAGACACTTTTAAGTAGCTTTTGATTAGTCATATAGTGACAGACTCCAATAGAGTGAAACTACATGCTCAAATATGGGAAACATTGCTAATTTGCAGATTAAAGGTACTTGGTCATCATTACATGCTTACTCTTTCCTGTGGCATGCAGTTTAACATCCAAAGTTATCTTAAGTAACATACTAACCAGTCTAGGTCCATCAACAGAAGTGAAATCTAACCTTTAAAATGCAGGATGTAGAGATGCCTGTACAGTGTTCAGTGTGTGCTGCTGAGAAAATTAATTTCATTATGACACTTCTATAACCTCTTTTTAAAAGTGTACTCTATAAGAACGAGCCCGGACCAATGTCAAGCAGGTACCTTCGTTTTTTTATTTATTTGTATTTTATTTCACCTTTATTTAACCAGGTAGGCCAGTTGAAAACAAGTTCTCATTTACAACTCCGACCTGGCCAAGATAAAGCAAAGCAGTGCGAAGGGAGGAGTTAGGTATCCTCCGTTTTGAGGGAGGAGTTAGCTATCCAGCAACTCTTGGTTGACTTTGGTACCTCCTTTTCAAGACCTGCAGCACTTGGGCCAAATACTGTATATGTCAGTAAGCCTATCCCTAGCAGTCACGGTGGGAGGGCACGGGCAGGCTTGCAAAGGGTGTATTGCCTCTAAAAACAAAGACACCACAGATGTATCAGAAGGACTGTGGCTGGAAGGAAAAGAGAGGAGAACAAGTAAGTCCATTTCATGGTCACAGGGCAAGGGGCTAAATGTCAACATCTGGGTATGATAATGCATTACATATTGATATCATTATTGATAACATCTGCCCATGCCGTGTGTACGTATAGTCACATACAGTATGTGTACTGTTGGGTGTCTATGCACATGCCTATTTGATCATAAGCCAATTGTAAAATGATTATAAGCTGTAATAAAAGCTAATGGTATGTGACGTCATAATTGTATTTAAGGTTAAGATAATGTAAAGTCATTAGACGATGCAAAGGAGGGCATAAGTACATACATGTATGTGAATGTTGATGGTAGGGGAGGCACAGCATCCAATTCCCAAATAAAACATCCATTACTTAGTGATGAAAAACAATGATCAAGATGTCTATTGAATATAGAAATTAAGTAGATTTCAAGTTGTTGCTTAACTAATAGTCCAATAGTGATTATGCAGGAAAATTGCATTCATAAGCATGCAAATTGAATGAAATTAAAAATTATAAAATTATATGCTTACTTGGTGGTTATATTATCTGGAACGAACTGACCCTTCACTAAGCCCCGCCCCTCTTGGTTACTGTTGCAACCTCAGACAACATTTTCCCAGGAAGCCCAATTCCCCATTCAACCACTGGCGAAATCCCCTCACAATGATCTCATACTGTGTTTCTAATACACAATTTAATTAAACACAGACTACGCTTTGCTAATCATGTACAATAGCTAGCTAACATACATTATATGAAATGGCCAGCTAGCTAGCGCTAGCAACGTTTGGTGGTCAATTACATTTTAGTCATTTAGCAGACGCTCTTATCCAGAGCGACTTACAATTAGTGAGTGCACACATTTTCCATACTGGCCCCCCTTGGGAAACAAACCCACAACCCTGACATTGCAAGCGCCATGCTCTACCAAATGAGCTACAGGAGGGCCAGTATGAAAAACCATCATCCAGTCAATGAGACTGGGTCATCACTAGTTACCACAGTCACAAAGTGATAAACCCCGCCTATTTCTAAAATCTATCTTCTTAAAATGTGACTTTAAACCTAATCCCAACCTTAACCCTAACCTTAACCACACTGCTAACATTATGCCTAAATTAAGACCAAAAAGATCATTTTTGTTTTCATCAATTTTGACTTTGTGGCTGTGGTAAACTAAGAGACTGAACACTAGCTAACCAGCTGAGCTAGCAAACAATGTAACTAACAAAAGTATAATTTCGATTTTTTTAAATAGTCCAACAGGCTCTCCATTTCAGGAATCACAGTAGCAAGTACTGCTTGATGCACTGTTACATTATTTAGCTATTTAAACATTATTTTTTGGGCTCTATGTGTGGAACCTCAGTTGTATTTTTAATTTTTTTATCCCATACAAATATCGAAGTACAGCGCAGAGTAGACAAAGACATTACATTTGCACAGCATGCTAACGAAAATCCACCTTCTGGATTACATTACTTTGGTTGTCTCCTTAACAATCCAAAAGCAAGAAAAAGTTGTTAACAGAATTCCTAAAATAAGTGCATTTGAACTCTTAAAACAGTAAAACCGTTCAGCTAGAGAAAGAAGAGTAATTGATTTGTCTCTTATCAGGTCTCTTAGCAATAATGAAAAAGTGAAGTGTAGCTCATGTGAAACATGTTTAATTCCTTGACTAACCTAGTAGAAATAAGCAATCACAACACAATTCAGAATTTGATGGGGCCAGAGTAAAGAAGAGGTGAACAGGTCAGTATCAACATGGTGAGAAGTGAGAGAAGGTTCCTGCTTAGTAAATTGCAACCCCTGGGTTGAGCCTTTATCAATGTAACATAGCTAGGAGAATGGGCCATATCTCGTAGCTACTAACAAATAAAACAATAATTTACAAATATTGAATACGTAAGGGATAATCAACGAGGGGCTATGCGTTCTCTGGAAAATAATGCATGACGTGGAAGGTGTGTTCCACAACGTGTTAGCGGAGTGGCACTCATTTTTACATTTACATTTTAGTCATTTAGCAGACACCCTTATCCAGAGCGACTTACATTATTTTTTATTTTTCATACTGGCCCCCCCGTGGGAATTGAACCCACAACCATGGCGTTGCAAACGCCATGCTCTACCAACTGAGCTACATCCCTCTCACCTACCAAGGAGTTGCATTATTTTCCAGAGAATGCATAGAGTCCTGAGTTGATTATCCCTTTTATACCATGGCTATAATTTAACATATTTGCTGCTAGAAATTTATTAATTTGCCAGTAGAAATGTGACAACAACATCCATTGAAGTAGCTAGCAAGTTTACTAGCTAGATAGATAGCTACAGTAGTTGCCTTGGTAACCATACAAACAGTCTTGCTAGCTTAGCTAACCAAACCATCATCCTAGCTTAATATTATGAAAATCAAACTCAACAATGTCAATAATGTTTCAATTCAACTTTTGCTTTCAAAAGCAGCTCAAAAATAGAACATGTAAGAATAAACTTCATAGCCATTGAATTATACAGTGCAATTATACAATGCATTATAGGGAAATAATGCATGCTCAAAAAATGCTCTTCAAGCCAATCAGAAACGAGTATTCAACAATGCCATGGTATAAATATTTATATTAATTTCACATAAGCAATAACATTAATTTAGCATAAACTCAAGCTCCAATGCATTCTGTCAAAGTGGACAAACCCAATACATATATTGGCTCATGTCCTGATCTTTCTGAGAATGACCTTTTGCTCCTATTGATTTAAAATTGCATATATTTTATTAAAATGAAATGAGGGATGTAGTCTACAGACATTTTACATTTAAGTCATTTAGCAGACGCTCTTATCCAGAGCGACTTACAAATTGGTGCATTCAGCTTAGGATTGCCAGTGGGACAACCGCCCGTATTATTATTTTTTTAATGGGGGGTTGGTGGAGTGGGGGGTAGAAGGATTACTGTTATACTATTCCAGGTATTCCTTAAAGAGGTAGGGTTTCAAGTGTCTCCGGAAGGTGGTCAGTGACTCCGCTGTCCTGGCGTCGTGGGGGAGATTGTTCCACCATTGGGGTGCCAGAGCAGCGAATAGCTTTGACTGGGCTGAGCGGGAACTGTGCTTCAGTAGAGGTAGGGGGGCTAGCAGGCCAGAGGTGGATGAAGGTAGTGCCCTCGTTTGGGTGTAGGGTCTGATCAGAGCCTGAAGGTAAGGAGGTGCCATTAGTGCCACTGCCTATAATTGAAATGCCATTTGAGAGGATAGCGATGGATATAGTGGGCCCGCTACCCAAATCCGCCAGAGGCCACCAATACATTCTGGTCATCCTAGATTATGCCACTCGCTACCCAGAAGCCATTCGGACGATGGCTTCCAAAAATATCGCCAAGGAATTAGTGCTAAGGTTCACCAGGGTAGGATTTCCAAATGGGATCCTTACTGACCAGGGGACCACCTTTATGTCCCGCCTTATGGCGGACCTTTGTAAGTTGTGGCGGGTGAAACAGTTGAGGACATCGGTTTACCATCCTCAGACGGATGGGCTGG